TTTCCTGCTATTTAAATGGATAAGAATGTACAAAATTTTGAATTAACGCTTCAAGTGTCATTCATCAATAGAAAGTATAATCAGCATAATATATCTCATCCATTGTCATGGATAATGATAAGTAAATAAATTAAGTAACCCGCAAATAAAATGTATGTCGGACTTTCATTGTCCAATATCTGCATGATGAGTTAATGTTGGTTTATTAATTTCAATTCTATTTACCTCCTCTGATTAATAAAGATTTTCAGTCATATGCCATTATCTAGTTAATATAATAGGCAAACGCTAAATCAACTGTAGATTACAAGCCTAGATGATGTGAGTCAATCGGTAAGTGCCTATTTGAGTTGGACGGGAATGGAGTGACATCTTAGCATACTTAGAAGTTATGCAATATAGTTATTGAACAGGCGACTAGCTAGAATAAATCCTTTTAGTAGACAGCAGCAACTATTATTATTATTAGTTAATATAAATAAAAGACAGAACTACCGCCGCATACGCATGTCCATAGCATGGAATTCATTGACCCGAGTTGGATGTATTTGTCTTTATCGTTGACTGGTGAAACGTTTGACATTCAGTGAACTGCCTGCCATATTAGCTGGCTAGAACCTACTGACATTTCACTGGCTTTATATAATTGAATCACCACACAATTAGGCACACAGAATATACTTATTCATCAAAAAAGGTATGTTCTTAAGATTTTGACAGTGATGCTGAACACGCTGGTTTCAATGAGACCAGCACTAGCTGAAAATAATATCTCAAGCATTTGTGTCGAATCATCTTCTATCTCGCTGTGAAACACATCTCCTCTGATAGGGATCAGTTCCAAAGTTACACTTCAATTTCTCCCCATAAAATGACAAATGAATTCTTAACAAACCATTTTCATCTTCTTTAAATGGCTCTGGAATCTTTTCATTCAAAGAGACAATGTTGTCTGACAATGATATATTCAAATACTCTTCACATAGTAAACATCTAAGTTGCCAGCTCAACAGAATAAAATCCTAATATCATTTCAGAAAGAAAAGGCGAAACACCTGAAAGAGAATTGAATATAGAACATAGATATTATTGGTTAAAAATTAGACAAGTGAATGCATACCTTTGATCACAGACCAAACCACCTCGTATTTACTAGTTAATTGTTCAACTTTCAGCATTTATTCTACAACAAAGTAAATGGAGACTGTACGTTAACCACTTGTTTTTTCTGACAGAAGATATTTCCATAATCTATAAGATCAAATGAAGAACATTCCGGGCTTTAATTTTATAATAAGTACTGCCTAAAAGCCAACTTATCACTGTGATGATATTGACTATTAGCAGTATTGATTATAAGCAGTATTTTACTTTCTCAAAAGCCTTACTAGATACCACCTTGTTCACAATGAAAACAAATCGTGAGACTTTAAGGGCTGAAAAAAAGCAGTGTTTTTGACAACTGGTAATTCGTTCATAACTCATTATTTGTGTGATTGGGATCCTAAATATATTCGACTGTGCTCTCAAAAGTTATCCTTCTTAACGTAGTAATCTATGCGTAACTGGTAGTGTGCGGAATAGATAGTTCAGCAATGTAGCGGGTAGCATAATGACTTCGACTGATAATAATAATAATTCATTCTCAAATAACAACGTGTTACAAGAGGCATAACAATTTACAGGCGAGATCAAAATGCTAAGATTGCTAACATACATTTTGTAAAAGGTCGTTCAGAAAGTGAAATAGTTCATAAGATAAATTGGCTTAGTAAAGATGGTTAAAATTTTCCACACGAGATTACTTATAATTTTCCTGACTCTGCAATGTACTCTGCGAATAATTGGCGCTAGTTAAAACGGGTGCGTTACGACGAACTGCTAGTGACTGCGTAACACTGCAAAGTAGAGCCAGGTCTGCATAAAACAAGAATTGATAAGGTACATGTGCTAAGAGCTTGTAGACATTCGTCAGCTAATAAATTAACAGGTTTTCCGGCAGAAATGAAGACATTTTGCTTATCGAAACCTTTATATATATATATCATTTATTCCACTGTGTTTTTTGGGTATATTTGTTTTACTTAACTCATGAATTTGTTTGAATTATTATTTTCGGCCATTTTGGACTCCTGTTTGTCTTGGTTGTTAGTTTGCAGCTTTTTGCTCCAAGAATGTATGAAAAAGAAGGTAATTGTAATTATTATAATTAATGTTGTTAGAACGACATTGGTCGTCTATTTGTAATAAACAAACACATTTTGGTCGATTATTTGTGAATTGGCAATAATTTTTGGTACCTACTTTGGAGTTTCCTTTTGGTTTAATCCTTGGGATCGTGAATTGCAAATAGATCGACACACAGTGCTTCTAAGGGTCAAAGAGCAAAAAATTGGACGTAACAACAGGCTCTTGAGTAAAGTAACAATGTCCTCTGAAAGGGGCGAGGAGAAGAGCAGAAATTGTTCTTGTTTAAAGCCGATCAGTGACTCAGCAGATACTATTTTCAATTAGAACACTAACTGAACACTAGTAAGATAACGAAGGGCCATTAATCGTATGAATAAATGAAATTCTGAAGCACTGAATTGTTTGTAATAATGCTGATTTACAAAAATATAATGATGAAACATAGCGATCTGATGCTTCTGTGATATTCTATTTATCCTTTTTCCTTTTAACACTGTAGCTCAAGAAGTCATGAGTGAGCTCTTTTTCAGTATAATTGTTCAGATTTGCTTGAAATAGGATTTCTTGGTAGGAGGTAAAACCAGTGAAAGGTTACGAACATAAGTCGTAGACGAGGTTAACAAGGAAAAGCAATTATATCAGCGCCAGCAATTAGTACAATAATCATCAAGAAAGCTAGAGAATTTGAAATTTCTGAGATTGGAGAAAGATTTTTTTATTGATACTTTGATGAACAAAGCCGTTAATACAAGTTGGAACAAGTTATTTCTTTACATGAGAACACATTTACAAGCAAAGCTGTAAACCTAGTCTTCCGGATTCATTTACAGAACAAGCTAATTCCAGTTTTGAAAGCATTTTGATCATTCCATACATTTGGGTCCAACACTCATCTCTCCCTGTAGTAACTTCTGTACTACACGCTACTGTGAGTGGCATTCACACACTTCAGAGTATCTAAGGTCGATCGCACTACAAAATCAATGTATAGTGAGCAAAGATACAATAATTACGATAACAATAATTTACTTTCAATGAACAATAACAGGCCGACTTAATGTTGTGATTTTTCTGCCATGAACTAGATAACCTAGTTTCATTGACACGACAAAACAAGTATTTTGCTAGAGAAACAGCATAAGAAAATCTGTGGTTCAGTAAATCACTGTAGTATAGTTAAAACTGAAATGTGTTAAACAAACACTATATGAATCCTGAGTCACCAAGATGAGCTGTTGACGGTTTTTACTGTCGGTGTCAAACAGTCGTTGCTGAGTTAAAAAAGACGAAATTCGGTATATATCTTGTACCTCTTGTTACTGATCATGCTTCATCCGGAAGAATATTGAGAAAACAATAGCTCCTAGGTAGAAGTGAGGAATAACTATTATATATTCCCATCGAGTAATAACGCATTAAATAGGTTTTTAAGAATTGATATCATGTTTTATATGACCAATAATAATAATCATTTAGGAATAATAGATAATTATCATTAGTTATAAGCTGTCGGAAGAACTATTAACTAATTTTGTAAGATATATCATCCACAATGAGTTGCGTGTTCATTATATACAGTCTTCCCTATTCACAGCCACTTCTGACTTGCTCATTTATTAACGTATTTTTTTCATTCTATCATGCGACGTGGTGTGGTTCCTGAACTACATCAACATCCATAAGAGGAGCATCAATAAACATAACATAAAGCTCCAAGTTTTAAAAAATTTCGCAGTTGTAAAAGATCCAAATACTAACATCACTGAGATCAAGGCCAACAAAATCTTTTCACTTCGTTCCTTGAGGTAACATATATCAGTCTATATAGAAGAACTTTTTACTTATTCTGTTTACCTATTCTATTTATTAAACTTATGAGCTAAGCAACGAATCATGCTTAGCCAAGCAGTTTAGAAGAGAACGCATGAATCGGACTTTATTCGATAATTAATAAGTGGCTTTGTATGAATACGCAATTGTCGACGCAAAATACTGAGAATCTGTTGACCAGACAACATCTGCAGCAACCTACTGTAGGAAAGAACAAAACACATTAAAGCAGAGGACGAAGAGGCGCTGACAGTGTATAAGTCATACACTGCGAAAATAACCCAGCTGCAGTACAAGAAGGCCGTCACTTGGAACCCTCAAGGTCAAATGAAAAGTGGAAAGCCATGGAACATATTACACCGAGAAATGGAGACTGATATGAGAAACATCAACAAAACCTGGACAGAGCTGGAAAGGCAAACCCAGTACAGAGTGGGTTGCGGAATACTGGTCGGTCGCCTACGCTCCATCAGGACTGACAGGAGCAAGTTAGTAAGTTTTAACCATCAACACAATATGTCTGTTTGCCGGATTATTTACCGATACCCCTCTTTCAACAACCAGTAGGCATGAAAATGGTCCTTTCCGACAGAAACCTAAAATATAGTCCACTCGACTTGTCAGATATGGTTAGTAATGCAGCAGTTCAAAGGGGCCAACTTATTCACTACATCTTCAAGACAAAAATGATGGCTGATTTAGGAGTTCTTGGGAATGTCTATACTGTGCCAAAAGACTACAATCCTTCAACCGCAAAATAGCCCAAATGTTGAACTAAAAGTTAATTGGGCTGCGCTAATATTATTTTGAATGTTACAGACGCTTCATAGTCAAGCTACCTGTTTTGCATTGCTCAAAACCACTGAAATACCAAACGTCAGTAAGGTATCAGGGATGTAACAAGAATAATGTGAACTTAAGGGTCTATTTCAAAGACGTTTGTCGAAAAAGTCTGAAATATTCATGATCAGAAGAATTCATACCCTTAAAATTTTCTTTGTTAGAATGTCGGATATTGGATATTGAACACTATACATTTGTCTTATTGATTGAGCGATTGAGTCGTCACCGCGGCAACCTGGCAATTTGTTGCGCCATAGATAATGGTAAGTGGATGATGTATTATCAATGATATACTCGGTTGGGCTGTCTCATCTTCTAACTGCCACCTTGTAATGTAGTTACGAGTGACGTCAAGTATCAGTTTCTAAGTGCGGGCTAGGATTCGACAAGTATCTATCTTATCTGTTCAGTATCCATATTACCCAACATAATTTTACCAGTATAATATCTCTGAAACGTTTCGATGCCTAAAATTTATGATTAATCTTCTATTCCTTTGCTTTCCATCTGCTGACTCGTCAATTCCCCAACTCAAACAAACCAATAATAGGAAATTTATGAAAAAGTATTTTACTCCATTGATGGTGATTTTTAATGAAGGTCGCACTGTTTACCCAGGAATGAAGCTATCAGACTTCATATATCAGTGGTTGTTGTCATTAACTGACTCTGTCTTGCTCATTATCATGCATGTCTTAGCATTAACTTTCCCCCTATTATCCTTCAAATTGCAACCAGGTCACCTCCAACCTGGTAATTTGATAGCTGCTGGTATCCAAAAACGTTACTTCCTCGATAAAAACTCATTCAAATCACAGGACATGCCAATTCATAAATGACTATCAACAGACTAGAATAAGCGCAATACAATGGCCAAATTATCTCCCATTAAGCAGTAATAAATGAATGAGATCGTACTAAAACAATATGTAGTGAGCTCAAGGAAATCAGTCAACCTAAAGTAGCTCAGGAAAGAGATATTGAATCAGTTGTTTGTATCGCCACTGGAGTCGTCAAGAGACAGAATTATGTAAAATAGCCACATAAATTGAGATGCTTAGTTAGAAAAAGGTATAAAATGTCTAATGTTAGAAAAAAAACCTATAAACTGAATGATGTTAAGCATTCTATGGTTTGTAATTTACTTAATTTCTTCACTACTTCGGCTATTATCGGTCAGTTAGTTGCAACGTAGAACTTGGTGCTTACGTACATCAGTCCAAGTTGCCATACCACCTTGATACTGAAACACAGAATTATCAGTTCACATCCCATAAAAGTAGAGGTAGCAGGTAATGGGAAAGATCAAGGGTCGAAAATGTGGTTCGAGGAATTTATCCGAATGAAATAAATTTTTGAAAAGTGGAAAGAGGTCATGAAGAATTCAGAAAGTTAGAATTTGAGAGAAGACAGCGATTGGATGCATCTGTGCCATTGCAAACTACTACGTAGAGGTTCTTTCTTGATGTATTGGTCTTCCTTCAACTACTTCGCCTTCATTAGTGTTCCAAACCCTTCAGTGGCATAAGCTTGATACTTCTCTGTAAACTACCACTAGCCATAATCAGGTTTATGCTGGTTGTTGTAGCATCTTGGTGGTTAAGGTATTCTTTTTTCAGCTAGTGCTATGCTCAAGCTTCACTTAGCATCTGAACCATACCTATCGCAATCTTATTAAGGGTAATCAAGCACTTTTTCGACTGACAACCAACTAGGCATACTACATCTTATGGAACTAGCCAAAATAAATATCTATATTCAGCAGATCGTGGTATTTATTTAGATTCCGCCTCGTAAATCCTTCACATGTTTTCGCCTTTTTCTGTGTCAGAAGGATATTAAGGACAACGCTAGGTTTAGTCATATTGTTGGGTGGTAATAGCAAATAAGGTCTTGAAGTCGAGAACACTTTTCAACTTGTAGGGATATTAACTTCATCTAGAAGACCATTACAATGTTTTGTCATCTGGGATCAGCTCGTGTGACAAACCTTACTCGTCTTCAATATTACAAAAATGTTTGCGGTATACTTTCCTAATTACCTTTGTGAGTAGGTCTACTATCTATAATGCGTCTATGTCGATATAGAACCATATTACCATCGAGTGATAAAATACATAGCTTCAATCAGCGTTACATTGGGTCGCTTGCAATCTAGAAAAAATTAAAACTTCGTCTGACCCACAAAGTTACACAAAACCTCCTACTTAGTCCAACTTTTTCACCTCTCATTGATAGGTTAACCCCTGAGATTTTTAATGATGGTGGTCCAGTTTTAGCAGTTACATTGACTGAGAACTTATGTAGAACTTGGGAACTGGGCGTAATCCCATCCGACTAGTCTCAACTACCGATTATCCCGGTCTATAAGAAAGGACAAAAAACCTTGTGACAATCACAGAGGAATCAGTTTAACTAATATAGTTTCTAAAGTATTAGCTTCAATAATACTTTTAGGCGTAACCACGGAGCTCCTGAACAGCAGACCCGAGGAAACCAGGCTGGTTTCAGACCTTGACGTGTCTGTATGGACCAAATATTCACACGTCGTCAGATCCTGGAACAGACACAAATTTCGGCGTGCCATAATAGTTGTATTCCTTTATCTTAAGGCGGTATTCAACTCTGTCGATCGCGAGGTTCTGTGGTAATGTCTATCACTTGAAGATGTACCAAAGAACCACATTAATCTTATACAAGCTTTACTCCAACACTACTGGTCAAGTTAGAGCTTATGGTTTGATTACTTCTGCTAATATCCTTCAGTGTATTCCACTTTCTTTATTCTTGTTAAACTTCGTCATTGACGTGCTTTTAGAGACGACACATTATTGTCTGACTTTTCAGGAGTTGGACTTACATTAGTTGGTGTAGACTACTTGGTTGGGGTCCGCGAGACAATAGTAACCGATAGTTAAAGACTGAACGACATGGGTCAAAATCGTTTGCAGGGACGCAGATGCATCCATTCTGTGTGTCCTCTTAAATCTAATCATCTAGATTCCTCACCACCTTTAAATCACCTGATTATACTTCCTGAATAATTTCTTCAGACCCTAATCTTCATTACCGCTAACACTTCTACTACATGTACTACTACTGTGAGATTTGAATCGATAATTGCGTCTGTATGCTAAGGTGGTGGTATGGCAACATGAACTGATGTGCTTACTTACGTACGAAGTTCTACGTTGTAGCTGACTGATACAGTAATCCTGGAGTCTGCCACGGTTTATTACATATAGTGCACTTTTCTCTACTAGATATCAGAATCTTAGATCTTTTGAGTTCATATTAACCTGTTGTACTTTACTTATGGGAAGCAAAACCCTCAAACTAACCACATTAAAACCCATCACTCCAAGTTGCTCATAAAATAAAAAGTCCATAAATTTTTACTTGCTAAATAAGTTTGTTTACTAAAACAATACCAATACTATTTTTTTTTAAGCTTCTAACACAATATAGTAGTTTTGGCTAGCTCCGGAAGAATAAAATTACTTCTAGTCATGCATGAAGAATGTCTTATATATAACTCAGTCACAATTATGAGATCTGATTGTGTGACTAATCATGTGGTGACATGATCTCTAGTAGTAATTGTGGTAAATATTTGTTCTGATCATTTGTATGTAATCAGTGGTATGATGAATTTCACACTTTGTTTGTTAGTGGGACATTGATGGAATTAAAGCACGACTACGTTGCTGCGCGCTGATTGGCTAATTTCCTATCCAATCAGCGCCTAATCGAAGCTTGGAGAACAGGATAGAAAATTCTCGTATTATTAGCTGCATGCTGATTGGTTAAATCTAATCCAGTCGATCACGTGAATTTCTATCCAGAAGCTTTCTCATTTAAAGGCTATGAACAGACTAGCGTTGTATTTATCTTTGCCTTCGCCTTCGCCATCACCTCTGGCTTCTTATTCCTTGCTATTTTGGAATATAATCTTTTCCTGTTCAACCGTGTTTTTTGATTCTTGGGAACTTGTCCAGTGTATTGTGTGGTCAGAGAATACTACTAAGCAATAGGATTTAGCCAGGAATTATCTAAGCAAGCGTTACAACACTGTTCAATGAACAATACAATACAAGGAGATTACTTGAATTAGAACTTAAAACACAAAATTTCTTATTTTCACAAAGATTTAATTAAGCTGTCAACCTATTTTATTAACTCTCATAACATTTGATCTGTTAAACTGAACCAATACGTATATATAAACAAACTATTAAAATCAAAAGCGTTAATTTGTATTTTTTGGAAATAACGACATCTAAGCACTCTATATTTATGATCAAACTCTACTTAAGTATTTTGATGCTTAACAAGAAGCCAGCATACTTTAATCTTCTCGTAATTTTACCGCTATTACGTCTACTAATACGTTTACTACTACTATGGAATTTGAATTGACAATTCCATCTCTGAGTACTAATGTGGTATGACAGTCAGTCAGAACTTCGTACGTAAGTACATCAGTTCATGTTGCTATACCACATCAGCACAGAGACGTAATTGTCAATTCAAATTCTATAGTAGAAGAGGTAGTAAAGGTATTAGAAGTAAGCGGAGAGGTTAGGATTAGAAGATATTATTCAAGAAGTATGATTAAATGAGAAAAGTTTAGAGAGTCGAAACTAGAGGTGTTGAAGAATCCAGAAGATTAGGATTTGAGAAAATACAAAGAATAAATACACCGGCGCCATTGCGAACGATTTTGAGCCATGTCATTCAAGGTATCTAACCATCGATTATTATCATCTCGCGGACTCCAACCAGGTAGTCGACAATTACCAACATGACTCAGTCCACTCGTCAATGACTTCATGGATTTCTGCCATGTTTTGGTCTGACCGCCCCTAACTTTCTTCCAACCTACTCCTACACTACAAAACCCAGCTCGTCGAGGCAGTCGGTGGTTAGGCATACACGCAACACATGTCCCAACCACCTCAACTGATGAAGAAGTTTCACCACTTCATCTATTGATCTACCATCCTTACCTAGTACTCGTTTCCTAACGACAGCATTGCTTACTCGGTTGAATGTGATATGACAACTTGAACTGATGTACTTACGTAGGGAGTTCGATGTTGTAGCTGACTGACTGTCTGAAAAGCCAGCATACCCCCCCCTAGATATGAATCAACTAATTTAGCAACATGTTGTTCACAGTTCAAAATCAAATCATTTTGAAGTAGATGTAGTTGTAGTAGTGAGAAGACTGAGGCAGGCGAGGAAGATTGTATCATATGCAAATTTACACTCTGAGTCAATTAAAAACGAAAACATTACATTGAACACCACTCTATTTGCACACCATCTTTGAGTCTTGACTTCCAACACTCCATCTTTCTTCCATTCCTGTTGGTACTCCATTTACTTGTTGCTTTTGCTCCATTTGCTTTCCGTTTTCCTCTTCTGACCGTGCGAATTCTTCTTCTTTCACATCACCCTTCTTATACTACTACTTATATCTTTCGTATAAGTAGTAGCACACACCACAGTAGTAGTAGTAAGCTGAAAAATCTTTCAGCATAAAATTAGTGACAATGCATATAAACACCACCATCACATGTAGCATGTACCTTTATCTTTTATTGTCTAAGTGTAAAACATGTCATCATATAGTGTATCTCTAATTTTATTCAACTGAAGTTGTTTCTTTTGTGTTTTACAATTTTTCTGTTGTTGAGTTTTATAATTTCATGAAGATTTTTTTTTTATAAATTTGTTTATAAATGTGTTTAACTAATGTCACATGACTTTTAAGAAGAGTAAAATTTAAAACACATCAAAAGTTGGCTTAGTTTCAATTGTAGTTGAAAATTAACAGCTACAGCAAGCAAACATCATTACCTAGTACTGTTTTGCCTACTCGGTGGTCCCAGGATGATAATACGAGCAATGCTTAGAAGATATCTATGATCGAAAACTTGTAATCTACGAATATTTTTCTACTCTTACTGGTCATATTTCACAGCCATAAATAAAGTAGGACGGAGGGAACTGTTTACGCAGTAAACTCGTCCTTTGGTTGATAGATAGATAGATACCTCGCCTACGCTTTAAATGATACAAGTTAGCAAAGGCTAGTCGAGATTTCGTCAGACACCAGGCTATCAGGACTCCTGAGATAAGTGAAGCGGTCAACACGCTCAACTGCATCACTCCTTATCACTAGTGTAGTGAATGAGAACACAGGTGATGGCAACCGAATTGTATTTAACGAGAATTACAAAGTTACTCAGTAAAATCGGAAAACCATATTGTAAAGCGTTAATTTGCAAAATATCAGTTCATCATATCGAACTGGACTGTTCCTGTTGCAAAACATCAACAATCCATTGTCACTATTCTCATGCGTTTCATACAAATTCCATTGTTTTCTAACTCTTCCTTTCTTGATCTTCCTCCATCTCCTGCTGCCAGACATTACGTTGACACTCACGTCATATACTACTTATAAGTAGCTCGCACCACACTAGTTCAAATGTTACTGCAAATCAATCCTGAAACAACATTTTGCACTTCGACAGCGAGAATTATTGCATCCCGTTACATGCATGCTTGCATTGTCGGTTTAAACCTCCATGCCCAACCCTCTTCCTTTCATACCAACAGGAACTGTAGAGACAGTCTTTAGGCAGAGTGGTGGTTGGGACATGTGTTGCGTGTATGCCTAACCACCGACTGCCGCGACGAGCTTTGTTTTGTGGTGTAGGAATAGGTTGGAAGAAAGTTAGGGGCGGCCAGACCAAAACATGGCAGAAATCCATGAAGTCACTGACAAGTGGATTGAGTCATGTCGGTAATTGTCGAGTACCTGGTTGGGATCCGCGAGATAACAATAATAATCGATGGTTAGAGACCTTGAATGACATGGCTCAAAATCGTTCACAATGGCGCCGGTGCATTTATTCTTTGTGTTCTCTCAAATCCTAATCTTCTGGATTCTTCAACACCTCTACTTTTGACTTTCTAAACTTTTCTCACTGAATCATACTTCTTGAACAATATCTTCTAATCCTAACCTCTCTGATTACTTCTAATACTTTTACTACTTCTACTATACTATTGGATTTGAATTGACAATTACATCTCTGTGTGCTGATGTAATATGGCAACCTGAACTGATGTACTTACGTACAAAGTTCTACGTTGCATCTGACTGACTTTAGGCAGTGTTGTTAACTAATCCGCCTAATTTACTATCAATTGATAGAACTGTGATTGAATGAGATTTTCTCTTTGCATGATTAGCAAAGTTTTCTTTATCGATTTATTGATTTATTTTTCAAGTCGGAAGTCGAAGAGACATTTAAACGATTGTTGTCACATAAAGGAGTCACTGGTGCGATGATTGTAAGCACAGATGGTAAGCAAGCATTTATAGTGAATATATGTAATATGTTTGTTTTAACCGTTTTATTTTTATTAATCTATTCAGTTTCATTGTGTTATTATTATTACTATTATTATTATTATCACTAGTTCAGTCAGATGTCCGATGCAACAACACTCAGTATTGCTTCACAATACCTGAACTAGTGAGTGAGTGACAGGGGAGTGAATTAGTTAGTCGAACGTGTAGACCGCTTCACTTATCTTGGGGAGTCTCATCAATGCTGATGGGGCCTGGTTGGTGATTGACGAAATCTCAGCATGGATAAAGAAGGCTCAATTGACTTTTGTTGCCAACCTGCGTGTCATTTATGGCGTAGGCGAGATATCCGTTCGCTAACCAAAGGACGAGTGTACTGTGCAGCAGTTCGCTCCGTTCTACTATATGGCTGTGAAACATGGCCAGTGAGAGTAGAAGATATTCGTAGGTTGCTGGTTTTAGATCATCGATGTCTCCGAAGCATTGGTCGTATATCTTGGGACAATCGAGTAAGCAATACTGTTGTTAGGAAACGTATACTAGGTAAGGATGGCAAATCAATTGATGAAGTTGTGAAACTACATCAGACCTATCTATCACCAACCGTCCGTTGCAATTATTCTTTAGGTTATTATTAAAGGGAATCACTTCTTTAAACTCATTTCTTGTCTCTAATTCATCTTAAATAGCTCCTTATAATATCATTGATACACACCCAACCATAGCTGTTACCTTGACATGGCGGTCGGGCTTGCCTATCGTGATGACCCAACCGAGCTATATTGGCTGGAACATATGTTCCTGTAGGTTCTACCATGCCAGGCAGGTCGATTGGAGAACGATGAGACTAAAAGCAGCAACTGAAGGACCGAGGGTGAAGTCGTTCGTACTGCTGACTTTAGAGAGGTATGACAGCAGCAGTAAGGTGTTTCCCTCGAACAACCAACATTTACAGCGATGCTGCTTATTCTTCTACTATCTCCACGACTACGGGATTTGAAGTGACAATTGCATCTCTGTGCTAATGTGATATGACAAATTAGACTTTTGTACTTACGTACAAAGTTCTATGTTGTAGAGCTGACTGATTGATACACACATAAACAGTGTAGTACACTTCATTTGTTTAATTTATTATACTTTTCTAAAATACATATATATTTTTTTCAGTTCGAGTTTTGGAGATTTGTGTTTATACACATTTGAAATCATCAATCAATCATTGTTAGACCAACATTAGAAACCTGGAAGCACTGAAAGACGGCCGTTTCGTCCTGGTATGGGATTGCTCATCAACAGTGCGCATCCACGACTCCTGCCCCTCGCAGGATTCGAACCTGGGACCTTCGGTATTGTGCGCGACGAACGCCTAACCATCGGACCACTGGGCCGGCATCTAAAGGTGTTAATGTCTAACTCTGATTGATCTAGGGATTTTGCGCGACCTCACCCATTTATCCTTTAGTAGTTACTGCCTGCACCCGACAGGATTAAACTTCATTCGTCATGTCTTCTCACTAGAACTCCGAGAATTTCCTCTTGAAGCTAGCCACTAGTGCACACATTTTACGATATTTTCAGTTACAGTTATGGAGATTTGTGTTTTACACATTTTTGAAATCATCAATCGCGCACAATACTGTGAAGGTCCCGGGTTCGAATCGTGGATGCGCACTGCTGATGAGTCCCATACCAGGACGACACGGCCGTCCAGTGCTTCCAGGTTTCTAATAATGATGGTCTAACAATGATTGATTGATGATTTCAAATGTGTAATATATATATATATATATATCACGTTCATAGAAGTTTCTATAGTTTTTTTTAATCTCTCAAACATTGCTCCATTAATAAAACAATAATAATAATAATAATAAACATTGTAAACAAATACTTTCAGTGCAAAATTACACTATCTATCCTCTTTTATATTCTTGACTCATAATGTGTTTCTGTTACGCCTGCACATAAACACGTCAACTTGATATTCTTGAACTATTACGAGTTTACCTAGTCGGAAACGAGAGCGAGGATCCGGTGACACGACATGCTACTCAAATCCGATTATTACAACCTCCATATTTAGTTAAAATAAGAAGACATGATATGAAGTAGAACGTGTATTCTACAAGCATCCAGAAAGTACGAGGTCCGAATCCAGAAGAAAATCGGGATCCCGAACTAGGGATCCGGGACCGAGCCCTGGTCCTGGTCATAAAACGTTACAGATAATGCGTATTTATACATTTTGGTCGAATAGGAAACAGCATCGAATTCTGTGACATTGACAGTTAAGACGACCAATAAGAAACAACATTTGAAGTGACAATGATAGTCAGGACAAGCAATAAGAAAGAACATTGAAGTATCTGACTTTGACAGTTAAAACGGCCATAATTTTGACCAATAGGATTTGACCAATAGGATTTGACCAATAATTCTCTTAGGATGTTGGATGAATATCCTAACAGTTTCTGTTACTCCTTACTACTAAATAGTTGTCTTCTGTTCTCTCCGTCTCTCTCTCTCTCTCTTTCATTGTCTTCCTTCACAATGATTTAATCAATTTGTTTCATCATCAATTAAAATTCATCTTTGTGTCTTCTTTGATATCTTCCCCTTAAGGTATCGCAGTCAGAACTTCAATGGATAACAATCGTACAAATCATTATAGTGGCCTTGTTCAACAATTAGTAAATAGATCTCGTTCTGCTGTGCGTGATTTAGATCCATCGAATGATTTGACATTTTTGCGTATTCGTAGTGCACGAGATGAAATTATGGTTGCACCAGGTAGTTTTTCTTTTCTAATACTTACTTACTTACTTACTCACTTACCTGCTTTAACACATGTTTACCATGTTTATATTTCATATCTTAATCAATATTGATAGTTATGTGTAATCACTCTGATGAAGATAAATTACATCCTAACAGTACGTTACGCCTGTATCTACGGGTGGGTGATCCTACCTCTTAGCCAGTGTGTTAAAAAGGATTCTGGTACGATCGCGAATCCGTTCATCCTCTCTCTTCAATCAAAGAAGTTCTAACTACTGCCTTCTCCTCGTGTCGTGATTACTGTTTCGTTAAATTAAATAAAGGTGAAATGCGCATGTCCTGCTGCCTTCATCAATCAGGTTGGTGGATATGGACGATTCACTTAGTGGAGTTAAAAACCTCCTGATTGCCTGATCGATGCTGTTTGTTTAGTGAACCTCAGTTTTGATTTCATAACTTCTTATTAAGTAGTAGTATTGTGGTGAAGGAGAACACAGGTGAGGGCAACCGAATTGTATTTAACGAAAATTACAGAGTTGCTCAGTAAAATAGGAGAACCATATCGTTAATCGGTTACTTTGCAATTCTTCAATCAATCATCCATCCATTGTCTGACATTTCACTACTGTTCATGCATTTCATACAAATTCCATTTTGTTCCCCATCTTCTGCTGCCAGACATTAGGTTTACACTCGCGTCATATACTACTTATAAGTAACGCGCACCACAGTATTATCATCATTTTCAACGTTGAAATAGTTTACTACCGAATTTATTCTCTTTTAACAATAGAAACATTCAATTTCATTATCATTGATATGCTGGTGAATTGACATTTCATTTTAGTCTGTATCATGGATGGGTTGTGATTAGAAAATTACATCGGATAGTCATTTTGTTATAGGATGACTCGTCCACTTGGCGGCATTATATATTCATAACCCAAGATCTTCAATTTAGGATATTCAATCGGATTGTATTTCATGTAGTTATTACTGTGTCGAGTGTAGGCAGTTGCGCACAATTCTCAGATTGATCACAGGGTTAGATATTAACACTGTTGGTTGCTGGCTCGGAGGTTAAGCGTTCGCATCCGAGACCGAAGCTGCTGGATTCGAACACTGCGGGTAGCAGGAGTCGTGCATGCGCACTGCTGATAAGTCCCATATCCGGACGAAACGGTCGTCTAGGTTTCCAGTAATAATGGTCTAACAATGATTCATTCACGCGATATCAGTGTAAACCCTAGCACGTCAACTTGTGGTGCTAGCTACTTATAAGTAGTATATGACGTGAGTGTCAACGTAATGTCTGGCAGCAGAAGATGGGGGAAGATCAAGAAAGGAAGAGTTAGAAAACAATGGAATTTGTATGAAACGCATGAATAGTGACAATGGATTGATGTTTTGCAACAGGAACAGTCCAGTTCGATATGATGAACTGATATCTTGCAAATGAACGATTTACGATATGGTTTTCCGATTTTACTGAGTAACTCTGTAATTTTCGTTAAATACAATTCGGTTGCCCCACCTGTGTTCTCGTTCACTACAAACTTACTGCAAAAAGGCTCTACGATGACGCTCGCAGGTCGTTAAGACCACCAACAATAATCCTACTTCTTTTCCAGGTGCCTTAAGAAGTAGCCTAGCAGTGAAAACCGCTCTCTCATAGCCGTAACAGGCGACGAGACAAAATCGATCATAATCAAATCCCTCATCCACCACTTCATAAATCTCTTTTATCTCTACGACCAACCAACCCTTCGTTTACTTCCTGCACCATCTCGTGTTGCTGATGCATGCAGACGTTTCTAGTATCTAAAGAATTTTTCACTTTGTTTTCTCTTATTCCATTTTAGATCGTGATTACAGTCTTATTGTTGTACAAGAAACAAGTACCGAATAAAATGTTCCTATTATATTAAATGGATAATACTAGATTTTTTAGCTGGAGCGTGGAAACCAATAAATATAATATTTATGCTTACTGATTAACAGTAAACTAAAAAAAAAATTTTCCTTTTTTCTTTCTGCTTTTTGGTTTTTCGGTACACTTCTTATCCTGTTTGGTTTTATTTTATTTCAACGACTGTACGTTTTCTTATATATTCCATGGAAATGAATAATAAATCCATTGTCCGAATAATGTTTCAACTAGATCTCTTCTTTTTTTGGTTTTGAGATGGTGGAGAAAACGCGTAGCTCAGGTGGATGGATGATGATTGTGGTGGTGGTGGTGGTGTTTGGTTCTCTGAGCTGGTTGATGTTTTGGTTGTGGAGCTTTCATCATTGTTCTCCATCATCAGCACAAACTTCAGATAGATAGAAGTGAAGCCTTCGAATTTCTCCACGCATTTGACCTGTAGCTTGTATTCTGCTAACCTCGATCTTGATTGGTTGTTGCTGTTGGCCTTTGACCTGTCGTTGTTCGCAACTTTGTTATGATTGCACCCTCCTTTTTTTGATCTGTTTCTTGATCTTATGATTTTTCTGATTGGTTGATGAGTTGGGTCAATGTCGATGTGTTTGTTGATTGCTGATTGACCTGAATGCCAGTCAAGCTTCTAAAAATTCTCTAGTGTTCTTTGTCCTCCCCCTACCCAGTATTTCCACATTGTTCCAATCGAATGTAGTATGTCCATAATTGTCGGTATGTATTGATATAAGCGAAGAATTGTCGTGGCGTTTGACTGCTAATTGATGTTCACGTAAACAGAGCTGAAGAGGTCGTCCAGTTTGTCCTATGTGTAGTGTTTTTCACAGTTCGAGCAGTTGTTTATTTTGTAGATGATATTTGGTTTTTCTTCCTTTGTCATTTTGTCCTTTGGTCTACTACACATAGGATTGATTGAAGTGATTCTGTGTTGGTTTGTGTGCCACACTTCCTATTCCAAATGGTTTCAGTATTCGTGCTGTATGCTCCAATATGTCTTTGATGTATGTATGGTAGGATGATGCGTTTATTTGTTTCTGTGCTTGATTTCGCTTCTGATGATGGTTTCGGTTGATGTTTTTTTTTGATGAAGTTGCGTGAATAGCCGTTCTTTTGAAAGATAGTCATCAGGTGTTTTTCCTTCTATCTGAAGTTTGTGCTGATGATGTTGTTGTTCAGCAGACGAACAATGAAAGCTCCACAACCAAAACATCATCCAGCTCAGAGAACAAAACACCACCACAATTCCGAAAGTTTATAGCATCTTGCTTCATTGACTAATATTCCCAGAACAAAATTACATGTAAGTAAGCGTTAGTGTTGTGTTAAACCAGTTTACCAAATATTTAGCATAGAGTATTAAGTAAGTACTAAATCATTTCAGGTTTGATAACCCCTGTAAGTTACCACAGTACAAATTCTAAAATAGTAAAGATAATAACATTATTAGTGGTAATTGGAAAGATTGGTCATGAGAAACATGATTAACGAGTGAATAAGCGGTGTAAAAACCTGAAACATTTATAAGATAACTTGCAAAGTTAGTAAGAGAAAGAAAACGAATACACCTTTCACATAGCAAGCTACTTTAAGTTTTGTCGCCCATCATTCCTAGCTGTTATTTGAGATAACCATCAGGATCTGGAACTAACTATATGACCTGCACCTGCTTACTACATGACCTAGTCAAAAAGACTAATACTTATGCATACTTCACCAAAAATTCAATCTTAGGAACGATACCCAGTAAGTAACTCAAAAGTATCTGCACTACTGAGGCCACTGTCAAGTTATATATATAGCACAATATTTCCAATTGGCGGTACAGTTCTTTCACAAACCCTGCCTGATAAGTAGCTGATGTCTTCAATAATTGAAGCGCCATTTCAAATAAGTCAATTTCTATTTACGATCCGATATTTAGTACGATATGTGAAGGCTAGATTTGAAAATACATTATAGACATGGATGATGTATTAAGTTGTACATTAGTAAAAGTATGTAGTGTGGTACTGTTACAATGCTGCTACGTGTAGCTATTCAAAACCTACCGACGTCCGAATTCAAATATTCCAATACGACCCAAATACTATTCCCAAATCTCCTATATATCAGAACACAACGCCGTCAGATGAAGTTATTTAATGGGTAGAGTACAGTACAGAGGAAGGAACGGAATACAAAGCTTTACAGATACCGCGTGTTTATACATTTAGGTCGAATAGGAAAGAGTATTGAAGTCTGTGACATTGACAGTTAAGACGACCAATAATAAACAACATTGGAGTACGTGACATTGATATCTAGGACGACCATAAAATTAACCAGTAGGAATGGACCAATAATTCTCTTAGGATATTGGGTGAATATCCTAACAGGTACTTATAAAATTACCCCTTAGAAGTCGACTTTGTACGGCAAGTAGAGTGAAACTATTTATTTTCCATTGATTTAGATATATGTATGAGAAAGACTTATTTCGACATTGAGTGCACATTTCTCCATGTTCACCAGATCGACAGGTATCGAACACGACAGCTTCACAAGACACATCGAGAGTTAACACAAATACAAAGTATTCTCCAAAAAAATCTCTAATTTCGTTATGGCTATCTGATCTGTTGATCGATTCGCTCCTGCATAATGATGTTAAGGAATTGTTCTAGATTTTTGAGACACTGGTGTTGTTGATCCAAGGATGCAATTGTATTTATTACCTGTCACTAGACTTGATAAGCATCTGTGGCTTTAGTTCAGGTAAGTAAATATTTATGACGGGAAGCTGTATGCCTAAAAATGACCGTCATACAACAGAGTTATTTCGTTAAGAGATGTAAAGGAAAATTTAAAACAGTTAGTCCCTTTTATAAATTTTGATAGAACAATGAGAAGACGTAATTGGTATGAAAAATGTGATGTATTTGCGCGCTATAAATTTCGAACATTCCGGTCACACATAGGTACACTTGTCAAGGCATTTTATATGAAAATGAATACAAGGTCAATTAAATAAAAGTTCAAATAGACATAAGGTGATAATTGTAAATAAAGGAGAGAGAAAATTAACGTAATATGAAAAGAATAAGGAGGGGTAGGAAAATTGTCACATTACCCTAGGCTTAAAGATTACCAAGGTAAATTCAAGGTTATGAAAAATTGCTTCTGCACGCATAAGGGGGGTTTTAATTTTCTAATAGCCAAGGCCTCCATAAACCTCAAAATTCGTCCTTCAACATTTCTATCCAATGTTTTGAAGGCTGTCTTGATGTCAATCTTATGCCCTGTCTCAATTATGTGTTTGGCGATCGATGAACATGGTTTTCTATTGCCAATGTTAATCGGCTCATCTGACGTTAACTGATTTTGAAGCCACTTTGGTACATGTTCCATAAGCCTTGATTGCAAAGTCCGATTACTCCTCTCTATGTATGTGTCCACACAAACATGTAAATTGATAAATGCAATGGGATGTAATGTAATCATTCGAGCAATGTTTAGGTATATGCGAAATCATGGACTTAGTCTTTTCAATGATAATCAGTTTAGCAGCGTTGTATGTTTTCTCTATGGCTGCTTATAGTCTCTGTCTTATTATTAGACCATTTCCAATATCCAATATCCAATATCTTTTTCACGAGCTAGTGTAAACCAATTTGATTTCTTCGCGTTCGATTCTTGTTCTTTCGGTACGGTTCCAGGTGTTCGGTAATGTCCAATGGATGGAGGTCTAGCCACTCGACTGTCTAATTCTAGTCAGTTGGCAGTTGGTTGTGAGTTTGTATGTCTCGGGATTTGAATGAAACGTTTGTTTCAGGGCAGTAGGGTTTCTGGATACTAGCAGCCGTCACTTTACCAAACCGGAGATCAGTTAGTTGCAATGTGGAGAGTAATAAGGGTAATAAGGGTAAATTAAAATGATAATATGAGTAAAATTTCAGAACTGAGTAATATATAGATGAATTTAGTTTATTAATTGGTAGTGAAGATTGTGAGAGAGGACCGAAGTGTAAGCAAGGGAGAGGAATAGGAGAGATAGATTAATTGAGTGATCTGAGGAGATGGCAATGGTAACAACTAGCAGGTCTCAAGATATGCATCAGGCACAGCTTGTCCAAGAGGGAGATGATAGTCCGCATGTGAGTACGTGATTATCAAGTCTCTTCTTAAAGCAGTCCACTGAGGGGGCTGTAACTACCTCGGCTGGGAGAGCATTCCAAGTTGCGACGACTCGCAATGAGAAAAAGTGTGCACGAACCTGAGTGTTTGCTCTTTGATGTGCAATCTTTTGAGGATTGCCTCGAGGGGAGTGGTGGTGATGCATCGGTAAGATGCTCACATTGGGATGGTTGGGCGTGTTTAATATGGTGTACGCCATAATCAGGTCACCTCTGATTCTCCTGTAGCTCAGTGTGAATAATCCCAAGAGCTGGAGTCTATCGTCGTACGGTTTATTTTTCAGCCCTATCACCCATTTGGTTGCTCGTCTCTGCACTCGATCCAAGAGATTAATGTCTCTTTTGCTTCACCTCTAAATGGTAAAGTGATATAAATCTTTTTCTTCTCAGCAGAATGAAAAAACTTGCTTTTGTCTTATCTGATTTCTACATATATTGATGAACTTTAGCGGATAGCCATTTGAAATCAATGCTTCAGTTAAGAATTTTGCATCGTCTTCAAATGTATCCATGGTGCAAATCCTTTGTGCCCTATTGAAGAGGCATTTTATTTAATTGACCTTGTATTCATCTTCATATAAAATACCTTGACAAGTAAATATATGTGATCAGACTGTTCGGAATTCATGGCGCAAATACATTACATTTTTCAAATCATTCGCATTTTCTCATTGTTCAATCAAAATTTACAAAAAGGACTAATTGTTTTAAGTTGCAACCCACAATTGTAAAGTGACGAAAATTTGATGGTCGATTCGATTGACTACTTTGTTGTTACCTTCATAATATTATGTTTCAACTGTGATAAAACATTCCTGGTCCATGGTTCACGTTTTGTGTATTACTAACCAAAGACTTTTTAAAAGTTCTTTTTTATATATGATACAAGAGATATGCCAATGAAATTCTTGTCGAACGCTGAAAGTCACTTTCTACATTATGATCAGCTTGGTTTTAAGCACACTAATATACATAAGTAATATACATATAAGTAAATCGAAACCCTATTAACTGTAAGGAGTTGAAAACCTCACCCTACTAACTTCAAGTTCCGATTATCAGATCGCCTTAATTCCAAGCTTATGTTTTTATCTAATGCTGTTCATCACTTCTCGTACTAAGAGTAAGCGTATCTTGTGCATTTTCGGGTTGTCAGTTAACCTTTCATCTTGATATTACCCACGTTTCTAAGGTCATGCTTGTAGAATCCTTTTTGAATGTTTTGTGTTTTGGAAAATCCCTCCATGTTTACATATTTTTGTTATGACATGACGGACTTTTTCTGTTGACATTTTTGGTATTTTATTTGATTCCAATTTGAGGTTTTATCATTGTATATTGTTATTATTTCTATATTTTGTACTTATATTGAAGTTTTTGTGTTTGCTTCTGATCTGTATATATGTTGTTTAAATTTGATCTTTAATATGGCTACAGCCATATTTGGATTGATCCGGTAGCAGTTGGACTTAACGTCACTTATTCACCTTTGTTGGATACTCTTCGGAGTAATTGTAACCTGGAAGGTGCATCAATTCCAGACCGTTTTCTCCTAGAATTTTTGCTTTTTCTGGACTTTGGACTGGGAGATACGAGTTCCGGTTGCACTTATTGGAAACCATTTGAACTGCTACGGTAGAAATCCATTTACAATGCTAGCTTGACTTTTTTTAAGAAAATTGAATAATTAGGGACCATTAGTGCTCTTGCTTCTTAATAAACACCCAGATTTTTTGCCAGCATTGGTTCTTCAGGAAGAACTCTAATTCTAAACTAATTATGAGAACAAACTTAAGCAAGCTAAGCACAAAAAGACACAATGACGTGTTCAAGAGTGGGACAAAAAACGGGATGGAATATACGAATATGAAAACTGTCTGTTTTTGCCACTGTACAACAAACATTTGAAAAACAAAGATTTAAGTTTATAATGAAGTGGCGTATTGCAATGATCTTCAAAAACCCGCTACACTGGATTAATCCTCCTCGATATCCTAATCATCGTCACCATCCTCTTTATCGTTTCCTTTTTCTTTATCTAGATCTGGCGAGAGGTGATTGTAGATTTTAATTTGTCCTACAGTACTGCTAGAACTGTAAACGCAATATTGGAGAATACAGAATCGGTTGGAAAGCTGTAGTCAAAACAAGGACAACTTGGCCTTAAACTTCATCCTTTTCTAAACGTAGAATAAAATTATGAGTCACATCAGTATAATAAGATCATAATGTCCTTCAGTTAGTAGGTCATTTGAAACGAAGATAGTTTACAGATACGTCAGACCAGACTAGGTGGTGAACGCTTAGACCACGGTTTGATTGGTTAGTTATGGACACCACGTCCGGGTGTCGCTACCGTCGCGCTCAAATAATTGGCCTCCTCCAGTAGGCACAGGTTCTGTATCTCCTGGCTGATCTCTTCGGTTGCTGTTTTCAATCGAACTGTTCTTACTCGTCCATCTGGACCGAAATTGACTTCTTCCAACTATAGCTATTGGCCACAGACTGTTTACCAACATTAAGTATCCCGGTTGTAGATGCGTTCTCATTGACTTTATGATGCGTTCCAACATACCGCCTCCAGGATCAAAGTCTGATGATACGTACGACAAAATATTTCTTCTGGTTAGGTTTCCATGAAACTCATGAACTTTGAAACATAATTCGGGCTTTCCACTCTGTCACCAGTATGCGCTTACTCATCTCATTGGACTAGCAGACAGTAGCGTTTACTGCAGCATGATCTTCCTCTGGAATGAATTCCAGCACTTCAACACTATTACCAGTCCATTTATTCAAGTTAAATCCTCTCAAACTTAAGAGTCTTTTGAAGTATCAATGTGTCCGTTTAGCTTCTTCTATAGCATCCACACTTACCAATAAATTGTCCACACAGAACTGTTCCTTAACTGGTTGCGCAACAACCCTGGGAAATTTATCTTGATTATCAGGAATCGTTTACCGCAAGGCAGACCAGGCGCGACATGGTGATGAGTTTGGTCCAAACAGATGGACCTCCATTCTTTAGACCTCTGGCTCCTTTTCCAAATCCCCACCTGGCCGTCACAAAATACCTAAAAACGTCTCGACTACGCACCGGAACCATTACTTGATAGAACATGGCCTCATTGTCTGCCATGAGACCTAGTGGTCGTTGCCGAAACCTGGTGAAAAACATCTGCAAATTTGTTGACTAAATCAGGCCCAGAATAAAGATTTTTGTTTAAACTCGTCCCAGCAAACTGAGCTGCACAGTCGGACATTATTCTTGACTTGTTGGGCTTCTTAGTATGGAAGGCAGTGTGGTGAGAAAGATACTAGATTCGTCCATTAGAGTTGTTGTCGTCTACCTTTTCGGTATAGTGTTCAGATAGTCTTGGGAAAACTTCGCATCTCGGAGAAGTCGACCTTTCCAACAGCTGAGTCTATGTTCGTGCCATCAAGGCCGAGCTATTTAATAGTGTCCATTTAACTTTTGTACTGAACTTGACATAGCGTTGAATGCTATACGATCTTACTCAGACATCGATGGAGTACGACTAAATGGGTCTTTGAGTTCATTTGAGTACATTTGTTCAAAATCACCCTCTAATTCCTCCTTAGACGAGATGTAATCAAGAACGCGTTTGCTTTTAATGAGTTACCCGTAAGATCCAAACAGCGGCCAACTCAACATAGTCCTCACAGAGGACGGCTCATTCATCCTTCCGGTTGTTATTTCTTTGGTCTCGTGTACTCTCGGTGCGTTACACCCAATCAGCAGTTTGACATTCTCATCTTCTACTCTTGGAAAACTTATGTCTTTCACGTGGGACCAGGATACCATTTGATGCGCCATTGACACAATCATGTAAGCTGACAGTAGTTGTTTGACTGTCAACACCTTCTGGACTCGACGGATGACGAAAAGTCTATCGGGTGCGGTTCTACATCGACCTCTTTGGATACCAACAACGATTCCTTTCTAAGAGTTTTTAGAGATACCATTTTTGGTTTTGCATCGAGGCCTAACTTATCAGCTAGATCATCAACTGTGAGAGGGGTATCTGATCCATTATCTAGAAAGGTGCAAGTGTGAATAACGTCACCACTTTTTTATCCATACAGGAACTACTTCAAATGCTACTGGTCTCTGTATGCGTTTAACGCCTTCCTCTGTACAAAGCTGAGTATTAATGTAGGCATCACTATTAGTTTCTCTCTGTTCTTCCCGCTTCTAATGTAACAGGTTAAGGTGTCTCCAGTCACAACCTTCAACAGCACGTGACCTCGTTGATCGACAATTGTTGCTACATGGTTTGCCTTCAGTAAAACGTTACGTAATTTATGCCTAAGTCAAATTCTTTCCTTTCTGTAACATTCTTGTCTTTAAACTTCTGGCATTGGTCTAAAGAATGATTGCTTGAGCACTCATACAGCATAAACTACGTAAGGAGGCATCGCCATCACTAATACTCGCACTTGATATCCTTTCTGTATTGTATTTAGAACTTATTTTCCCCTTCAAAACCCCGACATCCCTTTTGTCACTATTATTTCCGTGGTTGAACAGTATGTCATATCTAGTATTAGCTATATCTGACTGTTCCTTTACTAATTCACAGAGATCCTTGATTAAAGGCTCCCAACCCGTCTTCAGAATTCGACATGCTACTTTAACCCATTTCCGCTATAAGTATGGTGGGAGTTTTAAAAACTTACATTCGATGGTTTTGTAGAATTAAGATCAAATAGATGGTTCATTTGCGTGAGTACTAGCTCACAAATATGCATTTCACGAGCCAGCTTTCCAAAATTATCTGGATCAGTCCCCTTAATAGCAGAGATGTTCAGCATCTTATCAATAAATTCATGAGCTACTGTGTGTTTCTAACAGAATGTTTCCTCAAGAAGCTCTAATACTTCGTGATAGCCTTCTTCTGGTTCGAGCAATGCACGATGAACAATAGTGGCCTTAGCTTCACCATCACAATAGTGAATCAAATAGTTTATCTTTAATCGAAATCCAACGCTTCCATAAAAAAGTCTTCGAAATCCCGTATGAAACTCCAACAGATATCTACATATTCAGTCCTTCCCTCAGCTATACGTGAGGGAGATGTAGACTTCTACGAAGTATCCTTGTCAGTCGCAACTTCATTAGAATGTTATCTTCCCTTTTGACGTAACCGCTCTAACTCAATTTCTATTTCTGTCTGAGCCAAACGTACTTTGGCTCATTTTAACGCTATTTCTTCCCAATCGGTCATGACTATGAGTTTCTTAATAGTGAGAAGACGATTCAGGAATCTGATCAGATTTATGGTTATCCGTAGACATTTAAAGGTACTCATTGTATCAGCCTCCTTTATAACATCACCGAGCTCATCTCCAAATACTGAGAATTCATCCGTAAACCAAAAGAAGTGATCCTGTGTCAGATCCTCGAATGCTCGCTTTCGGGTTGATCATCAATATATTTGGAAACCAATATATTTTGGTGTACGTAGAACAAGATTTACCGCTCTCTCCCAAATGGAATTCATGAGTTGATACATAGCTGTTGAACCACTCATTTTTTGAAATGAAAGTTAATTTTGAAACTCTACCTAGTTTCCTCAAGATCCTGAGCTTTAGAATATTCACCGTTGCTGGTCTGACAATTGGGAATGGTTGATAAAGTAGTGAGCCGGAAAATTTATATTTTAGAGACCAGCTTAAACTATTAGTTAAGATCAAGTTGCCTCGTCTTATTGGATTTTTATTCAATTCTGCCTTGCTCATTGTGGTTGTCAATGGAATTTTGTACTTCCTCTATCTCATCGATGAAAGCACTAGTCAACTTTAGCTTTCCGTCCGCACCAATGTCATTACTGGTACAAGGTGCTTAAGGTTGGATATTGATCCCAAATGGACTTGACAGAAATCCACTGAACAGGATATGCCTAGGACAACACAGCCGAAGAAATATCACTGTGTCCTAGAAGGCAGATCTGTTAGTGTAAAAATTACAGAGCCTCATCAGGGTCACGGACAATCACCGCGAATTTATAGATTGGACATTACGGACAGGTGGATAAGGTACTGACTTTTCTTTGTACTTTCGTAACTTGGTCTTATAATATATGCTGACATCCGTCGCAAGTGAGAAGAGGGACGGCGCATTTTGAAATCAAACAAAATATTTGGTCTGACATGGCTAATAAAGGGCTGGATATATTTCTTTTTTATGTATTGTTGCAGGTGCATCCACTCTCTCTCTAATTCTAACCTTCTGAATTCCTCATAATCTCTATCTTTCTCTTCTCAAATTTATCTCACTGAATTATACTTTTCGAATCATATCTTCGCTCCCTAATCTTCTCGATTACCGCTAATACTTCTATTATTGCGATCACTCTTGGATTTGAACTGACAGTTGCGTCTCTGTGCTGATGGGGCATGGCAACCTGAACTGATGTACTTACGTACGAAGTTCTGCTTTGTATCTGTTTGTCTGTGTGGACTGAGTCATGTTGGTAGATGTCGACTACCTGGTTGGGACCCGCGAGATTATAGTAATCGATGGTTAGAGACCTTGAATGACATGGCTCAAAACCGTTTGCTATGGCTTAGGTACATCCACTCTTTGTGTTCTCTCAAATCCCTAACCTTCTAAATTCTTCATCACTTCTACCTTTTTGTTTTTAAGTTTCTTTCACTAGATCCCACTTCTTGAATAATATCACTGAACCCTAATCTCTTCCATTACTGCTAATACTTTTTGACTACCTCTACTACTACTATGGGTTTTGAATTGACAATTACATCTCTGTGCTAATGCGGTATAGCAACTTGAACTGATGATCCTTCGTGTAGCGTAGCATAGGTCGCTGACCACCAGCATTATTTTTTCTGGTTAGCGTTCTGTTAGCGAATCAGTTTTTCCACTGGACGATGAAGTCACTAACTTCATGTCCAACTCTCCTCCTTTAATCCGTGTCTGGGATCGAGAGAGTAGTAACCGTAGAAGGGCTCCACACACAGAGTTACATATCAAACATAGTTTTGGCTAATCTTCCTTCTCTCATTATTACACTATTTACTCTGAAATTTTACCAAATATACATTTGTGTTCGATCCCTCTCCTTACATTGACTATTCGCCTAAAACTTTTTATTTTACAATTTTTTGTTATTGTATTAAAGGATGAAGATGAATCGTCTTCATGTCAAACTGGTCCACAAGAAGATCTGAACAAAGATGATGATACCAATGATACAGATATTACGAAAGATTTTGATGATCCTGAACCACCGAATAAAATCACACACATTAGTACAACAGCCGGATTCAATACTGTTACAACAACACCAACATCACGACCAACACGTATTTCTACTACTAATAATAGTATTAGCAGTAGTAGTAGTAGTAATATTCATGCATCAGCCTCAGCGCATGGTGTTGCTGGTGGTGGGAGCAGTGAACTAGGAGGCATTGGGAAATCGCTGTTTGATCTGGATGAAGATAATGAAACAACCGGTGATGCAATGGATGGAAGTATCAATGAATATCATTCGAATAGTATGGGTGGAGGTAAGATTTAGAAAATGAATTCACCCACCACTTGACCAATCAGATGCGTTCATTCACAAGGTCATTTTCCGAAGGTCACTAAATGGCCTCGGTTGGCCATTTCTGATTGGCTTATCATATCGAAATGAATATAGCTATATATATTTTAGTGTTGACAACCATAGTGGATTCAAGTTGTTAGAAACTATGTGCCACTTTCATTATTGTTCAACTTATCTTGGTGAATATCAGGTCAAATATGTTAGTGTTCTCGTTTATACGACCCAACTATTCGTATTGCTTAGTGTTCTTCAAACATTCTACAATGTTCAACGAATTCACAAAATCAAAACATGGCTTGAACAATAGATAGTGAATTGTATTCTGACAAACCAAGTTGATGAATGTGAAAGAGCCCTAGTTATGAAAATGGTAGCATAGTTGTAATTTTTGTACAGAACGTATATTCAGCTCTCAGCTAGCGTTGATTGGCTAAGAATAAGCCAATCCGAGCGTCCTACTGTGTTCGATATGCTTTAATTAAATCTATGTCCTATTAACAAACATAACCGCGAAATAAAATAAACGTGAATGGTGTATGACTTCATCCGATCAATCTGTCCTACGTAATTGTTTGTCTCCGTTAATCGATCGACCCGACCGAAGTCATGTTGGTAGATGCAGGCTACCTGGTTGGGGTCTGTGAGACAAAAGTCACCGACGGTTTGAGACCTTGAATGACTTGGCTCGAAATCGTTTGCAATGTTGCAGGTGCATCCATTCTTTGCGTTCTCTCAAATCCTAATCTTCTGGATTTGTCAACACTTCTACCTTTTTCCTTCTAAACGTATCTCACTGAATTATACTTCTTGAATCATATCTTCGCTCCCTAATCTTCTCTATCACTGCTAATACTTCTACTATCGCTACCACTATGGGATTTGAAATGACAGTTGCGTCTCTGTGTTAGTGTGGTATGGCAACATGAAATGATGTACTTGCGTACGAAGTTCTGCGTTGTATCTGTCTGTCCGTCTGTTCATCAATCGAAATCCCATTAAAAAGACCAAAGAATGCACTACGTCGCAAACTGTAGATAAAACTTGAAAAGAATGATTTTTCAATTAGAGTTGCGAAAATCATTGTCTCTACACATACAAATCATGAATCAACCATTGTTAAACCATCGTTAGAAACCTGAAAGCACTAGACGGTCGTTTCGTCCTGGTATGGGGTTCATCACCAGTGCCCATCCACGAATCCTGCTACTCACAGGGTTCGAACCCAGTACATTCGGTCTTGCACGCGAACCTCTAACCTCTGGATCACAAATGGTGGTGGCCTAACAATGATTGATTCATGATTCATATATGTAGAAACAATGATCTCCATAACTCTAATAGATAAGTCGCGCAATGTGTTCACTAGTTACTAGCTTCGTGAGGAAATTCTCAGAGTTCTAGTTGAGAAGACGTGGCCGGTGGAGTTCAGCGCTGTCGGGTGTAGGCAGTAACTACCGAAGACAAATAGGTGAGGTTGCGCAAAATCACTAGATTGATCAGAGTTCGACATTAACACCGTTCAATGCCGGTCCAGCGGTCCAGAGGTTAGGTTTTCGCGTGCAAGACCGAAGGTCCCGAGTTAGAATCCTGTCAGTAGTAGGAGTCGTAGATGTGCACTGCTGATGAGTTAGTTCCATACCAGGACGAAATGGCCATCCGGTGCTTGTGTGTTTCTAATAGTGGTCTGACAATGATTGATTCATGATTTCTATACGAAAAGAATGAACAGCAATTGGGTAGAACTGGAAAAGAAGGCTTAGGACGTAGTAGGTTGAAGGATGCTGGTCAGTGGCCTATGCTCCATTTAAGGTAACAGGCTTAATTAAGTTAGACAAAATCAATATCCGTTTACTGACTAAAGGACGAGTGTACTGTGCAGTAGTTCGCTCCGTTCTACTATATGGCTGTGAAACATGGCCAGTGAGAGTAGAAGATATTCGTCGGTTATTGGTTTTCAATCATAGGTGTCTTCGAACGATTGCTCGTATATCGTGGGACACCCGAGTGAGCAACGCTGTTATTAGGAAACGGGTACTAGGTAAGAATGGCAGATCAATCGATGAAGTGGTGAAACTTCATCAACTGAGGTGGTTGGGACATGTGTCGCGTATGCCAAACCACCGACTGCCTCGACGAGCTTTGTTTTGTAGTGTAGGAGTAGGTTGGAAGGAAGCTAGGGACGGCCAAATCAAAACATGTCAGAAATCCATGAAGTCATTGACGAGTGGACTTAGCCATGTCGGTAATTGTCGACTACCTGGTTGGGGTCCGCGAGATGATAATAATCGATGGTTAGAGACCTTGAATGACATGGCTCAAAATCGTTCGCAATGGCGCCGGTGCATTTATTCTTTGTGTTCTCTCAAATCCTAATCTTCTGGATTCTTCAACCCCTCTGGTTTTGACTTTCTAAACTTTTCTCACTGAATCATACTTCTTGAATAATATCTTCTAATCCTAACCTCTTCGACTAATTCTAATACCTTTACTATCTCTTCTACTATTGGATTTGAATTGACAATTACATCTCTGTGTGCTGATGTGGTATGGCAACATGAACTGATGTACTTATGTACGAAGTTCTACGTTGCATCTGACTGACTGACTGACTGATTCGTGCTTATTTAACAAGAAAAGAGCCCTAAGTTTTAACCAACAACACGTAAGTAACATCAAAACCCTAAATAAATTATTATGATTGTCAATCTAGGATTGTGTAGCGATTGTTGAGTTTCGTCGGAAATCATCAACACTGTAAGTACTGGATTATGACCTCAGGATCTTCGCTCTCGCTTGCGGACGCTTGATCTCCCGCCTGATCATTAAGACAACAGCATCCAACAAATAGTATCATGTCCAATTCACGATATACGGTGTGTCTGTGTCTGTGTGTGTCTGTCTGTCTGTCCACAACTATTTTACTTTCAATCAAAGTGTCATCAACTTGTATCCTTTGTTTGTCTTCTTCTCTCTCTCTCTCCCTATGTGTGTGTGCGCTGACGTGCGTGCGCGCGCTCATCAAGTTGGTGAAATGAATTATGCTCAAACTATGGCCAATGGCGACGATAATAATAATAATACAAGGTATCATCGACAAGGCATCACTACTACTACTACTATTCATACCGATTTAAGTGTGATTGAACAAGCACATTGTATAGTGATACCATCTTATTCCGCTTGGTTTGATTATAATGCTATACATGGCATTGAACGTCGTGCATTACCGGAATTTTTCAATGGACAAAATAAAAGTAAAACACCGGAAGTGTATTTAGCTTATCGTAATTTTATGATTGATACGTATCGTTTAAATCCTCAGGTAAAAATTTGTGTGTTTTCGTCTGTTCATTGTTAAAATTATTGTGTGTTTTTAAATTTTTTGTACAAATTGTTAATTGATTGATAATGTTGAACATTTAATTGACCATGTCAATAAAGAAGAGATATGTGTGTTTGGAAGTTGTGAATGATTGTTAGACCAGTAGGACACTGGACAACTGTTTTGATTTTTAATATGGCAATGCGCAATGGCATGGTTCTTCTATTCGGTGAAGTTGCTGACAAAATGCAGAGTCTTCTGACTACCCCAGGGCAACAATGCAAGCATGTTCGGGATATGGTGATCATCCTCGAAATGCAAAATATTGCTTCAAGATTAGGTTGCATTGGCACCTGAACTAATGATAGAGGGAGTGAAGTAGTTGTCGAGTGTGTGGACCGCTTCACTTATCTGGGGAGTCTCATCAGTGATGATGGCCTGGTGACTGACAAAATCTCAGCTCGGATACAGAAGGCTCGATTGGCTTTTGCCAACCTGCGTCACCTATGGCGCAGGCGAGATATCCGCTCGCTAACCAAAGGATGAGCGTACTGTGCAGCAGTTCGTTCCGTCCTACTATACGGATGCGAAACATGGCCGTTAAGAGTAGAGGACTTTCGTAGGTTACTAGTCTTCGATTATCGATGTCTCCGAAGCATTGCTCGTGTATCCTGGGACGACTGAGTAAGCAATGCTGTCAATGAGGAAACGAGTTGTAGGTAGGGATGGCAAATCAATAGATGAAGTAGTGAAACTTCATCAGTTGAGGTGGCTGGGACATGTGTTACGTATGCTTAACCACCGACTGCCTCAACGAGCTATGTTTTGTTGTGTAGGAGTAGGTTGAAAGTTAGGGGCGGCCAAACCAAAACATGGCAGAAATGCATCAAGTCACTGACAAGTGGACTAAGTCATATCGGTAGGTGTCGACTACCTGGTTGGGGTCTGCGAGATGGTAATAATCGATGGTTAGAGACCTTGAACGACCTAGCTCAGAATCGTTTGCAATGGCGCAAGTGCATCCACTCTTTGTGTGCTTTTTAATGCTAACCTTCTGAATTCCTCATAATCTCTATCTTTCTCCTTCTAAATTTATCTCAGTGAATTATACTTTTCGTATCATATCTTCGCCCCCTAATCTTCTCCATTACTGCTAATAATTCTACTATCGCTATCACTCTTGTATTTGAACTGACAGTTACGTCTCTGTAGACGTTGATTGTCCGAGGGAAACACCTTGCTGTTGTCACATCACTCTACAGTCAGGAGTACGACTTCGCCCTCAGACTTTAAGCTGCTGCCTTCAGTCTCACCGTTCTCCAATCGACCTGCCTGGCATGGTAGAACCTACAGGAACATATGTTCCATCACGACAGACAAACCTGATCACCACAACAAGATAACAGCTAAGGTCGGGACTTTAAACGACATGGCTCAAAATCGTTTGTAATGACGCGAAAGCACCCATTGTTTATGTCCTCGCAAATTCCAATCTTCTGAATTCCTCATGATGTACATGTTTGTCTGCTGAAATTTATTTCACATGATTCTACTTCTTGAATAATAACGATCGAACCCTAATCTTTCCGACTACTGCTAGTACCTTCTACTACCCTTATTTGAATTGACAATTGCATCTTTGTGCTAATGTGATATAACAACCTGAACTTATGTACGTAGGTACAAAGTTCTCCGTCAATAACTGACTGACCGACTAATCTCTACACACATACACACACACTTAGGCGCGTTACTTTGTACCGATAGTGTTGTAACGCTTGCTTAAATAATTCCCAGCTAAATCCTATCGCTTAGTATTCTCTGACCACAATACACTGGACAAGTTCCAAAGAATCAAAAACACGGTTGAACAGGAAAAGATTATATTCCAAAATAGCATGGTTAAATGGAAAATAAGAAGCCAAGGGTGATGGCGAAGGCAAAAATAGATACAACGTTAGTCTATTTATAGCATTTACATGAGAAGCTTCTGGATAGTAGTAATTCACGTGATCGACTGGATTAGATTTAACCAATCAGCACGCAGCTGACAATACGATAATCTTCTACCCTGTGTCTCCAAGCTCCGATCAGGCGCTGATTGGATTAGGAAATTAGCCAATCAGCACGCAGCTGACATAGTCATGCTTTAATTCCACCTATGTCCCTCTAACAAATAGTTATATATTTCAATAAATAAGTAAATTATTACCTTCTTTTAAAAAAAATTTTCATTCTGTTTTTTTTCCTATATTCCAAAAAGGAATATCTTACATTTACCGCATGTCGACGTAATCTCACAGGTGATGTTTGTTCCATTCTCCGTGTACATGCATTTCTTGAACAATGGGGTTTAATTAATTATCAAGTTACTGCACCATTAACTTCAACAACCACAACAACATCAGTAAATAATTTAAATGGTAATTCTATCACTTCTACTGGTGTTGGTGGTAGTAGTAGTACTAATAACAGTAGTGCGGCGGAAGCATCACGTCTTGCAGTGGCTGCATGTTTAGGACCACCAAGTACAGCACATTTTCATATATTAGCTGATAGTGCCAGCGGTTTACAACCAATCGGTACACAAAATTTAGCTGGTACTACTAATTCAATCATTCCACCGACGTCTAATACTACTACTACTATCAATACTACTAATAATAACAATAATAGTAGTAATACTACTACAATTTCAACTGATGCAAATCAATCAACTAACAATAATAATAATGGGAATGGGAATGATACTGTTTCATTAATCAATACAACAAAACAAGAATCACAAGTATGTTGTAATCAATTTATTTATATAAATGTGAATATTTCTTTGGTTCAGTTTATTATATGAAGCATTCTGTTATGCCCTATCACGTCAACTTGATATACTTGAACTATGACGTGTGTGTTTACCTTAGTCGGAAAACACGAGAGCGCTAGGATCCGGGGTGACACGACATACTACTCAAATCCGATTGATTATTCCAACTCCCATATTGAGTAAAAAAAATGTAAGAAGACATGAATGTGAAGTAGAACTTGTATTCTACAAGCATATCCAGAAAGTACGAGGTCCGAGTCCAGAAGAGAATCATGATCCGGGACCGGGTCCTGGTCATAAAACGTTACAGATAATGCGTATTTATACATTCTGGTCGAATAGGAAACAGCATCGAAGTCTGTGACATTGACAGTGAAGACGACCAATAGGAAGCAACATTTGAAGTGACATTGATAGTCAAGACAACCAATAAGAAACAAGATTTGGAGCACGTGACATTGATATCTATACTAGGACGACCATAAAATTGACCAATAGAAATATTAACCAATAGGAATAGACCAATAAAAAATACAAAGTTAAACAATGTTGTTTTTAGTTGAAGTTATCAAACTTGGTCGTGTATGGTGCGCAACTAAATAAATATCAAACTGTACTTACTCGTAATGGAGAGTATAGCCTGTCGACCAGGCGGGTTTTTTGTAGTGAATTAGATTTCTATGAAATGGGTTGGCTAACTAACTCCTCATCATCATGACCAACCTTTCTGTTTTTTATCCGTGCTTGTGGGAGTGGCAATTAACACCTTAGAGGAAGGGCTTCCGGTGAAGTTAAATGAATATCAAAAAAGATTAATTCATCATTATGGTTTGAATTTGACATATCCACTCTCTAATCAAATACTATGTTTCTCTACTACACGATTTAAATCAACAGTTTCTACATTTTTTTCATATAGATTTTTTTATACAACTCTCTTTCCAGTTAAATATGTAGTTGTGTGTACTTTAGTTCAAGTTACAATTTCAGTGTTAAATTTAGCTGAATTCAAACAGAAAAACGTTATTGAATCTTGAAAAATTAATTATTTCAGTATCACTGTCATTCTATATCTCTGTTTGTGGTTTAAATGGCTTCGTTGTTCATCGAGTTTAGTACGTTGATTCATCCATCGGAGGCATGAAGTTAAAGAGATTGTTTGTTGATGTAGTTCTGTAGGTGTTGTCGTTAAGTTCAACGTGTCTGTTGTTTATCTGTTTATCATACCTAAGCAAGCCTCATTTGTCTGACGATTGTAATAGGTAGCCGTATACGGTTTTGCGGATGAATTTGATTTCATGCGTTCATTTAGGGAGATAGACATGAGAAGGAAAAACGTAGTAGCAAAGCATAGCGAATTGGAGAAGGTGATTAAGCCAACTCTCCTACGCTGAAGGTATCATGACTAAACATTTCTAGTCAGACAATAATAGGCTAGACGTGTAATAAGCTAGTAAGCATGCACATACACACCCAAATATAAAATGGTCGATACTGTTATCAAATAATTTAAACAGCTGATCATATTAAAGCATATTGTATATGAGATGCTATGAGCTTATATACCAAATGTATATTTCAGTTTCTTTTCACCTTATTTATAAAGTGAGGGCTTCATGTTACTATCGCCTATATTACTTACTTACTTTCTTCTGTTTACGTCCAATGGAGCATAGGCCGCTGACTAGCGTTCTTTAACTTACTCTGTCCTAGAGCCTCAATTTTTGTTAGTTCTATTCACTCATGTCTGCTGTCTCCATTTCTCGGCGTAATATGTTTTTTGATCTTCCAGTTTTTCCTTTAACCCTGGATATTCCAAGTAAGGTCTTGTGTTGTGATGCACTCCGGTACTTTCCTCAATATGTATCGTATTCACTTTCAATTATTTATCGCCTTATTGTCCTAATCAAACATAAATGAAGTATTGTGTTTAATCTATGAAATAAATACTAGTTATTTACACTTTGTGACAGCGTTTGAAAAAACAAACGGTACTAGGTTCGAGTCCATGGAGTGAATATCAACTCTGAGGCGTAGCAAATACATCCTCCAACGCCTACCGTAGATTCCACTAGTAGGCATACTTATTCTATCCTAAACTTGTGCCATAATAATTATATGATATGCTCGTCAATTGATACGCATGAAACTTTTACGAGTTCACCTTAGTCGATAAACGGGAGCGAAGACAAATGATCCAGTGACACGATAGACTATTCTAATCCGAGCGTACCAAGGTCCCACTAAGTAGAGGAAAAAGTCTACGAGCACACAAATCGAGTTTATTTATACAATGATAGAAACGTCCTTAGGCGAACCACAAACATAGCGTACTAAAATAACACGTCAACCAATGACAGTCAAGTATTTTCCAAGTGGAATATGTAGTCTCAAGGTCAACTGATTAGCCCATGCTCAAAAACATAAAATCCAGAATTAGGACCTTTATCAAGTGAGTTCTGGGGATCTAACGTCGTCCCTAACACATACAAAGTGAAGATAGTGAGTAGTACTTTTATGTCAGTGGTGGCTATATACGCGTAGCCATTGGAGGAGGTGAGCTGACTTCCACTACTCTTGGTTATACCAGGGAATTTTGCAGCCCTAAATTCAAAATTAGAACTTCGGTGTATATCATAAATAACATGTCCATCCATAGGTCAATCAAATTTCACGTTAAATCATGTTTTTCCTTTTTTTTCACAAGGGAATTGATGATGTTCCTTCAACAACCACAACATCCACAACACCAACATCATCGTCGACAACATCCGCAGCAGCCGCCGCCGCAACAACAACAACACCGTCGTCGTCGTCGACAACAACAATCACACCAACACAAACATCAACATGCCCTGTTACAACACCGAACAATTCAAATGGTGGTGTACCATTGTTATCTTTGAATAATAATAATAATAAATCATCCTATCTTATTGGTGATCCAAATCTACGCATTGATCAACAATATTTTAATAATGCTAGCAACATGACAAAAGCTGTCAATTCAACTGCTGACAATCGTAGTAATCCTTCATTGATCAGTGGTAATAATAATAATACTGGTAATTATGCAACAACACAATCAGATTCAACTGGACAAATCTTTGGTGGGGGTGGTGGTGTAAATAATAAACTCATTAAAGGTGTTACACAAAATGGTTGGAGTGATCAAGAAACTTTATTATTGCTAGAAGCTTTAGAAATTTATCGAGATGATTGGAATAAAGTAAGTGATGTTGATGTTGAAATTGATGATGATGATTTGTGTTACGAATGCTTGAAACGATTACGGGTTTAGCTTAAGTCGTCTGTAAACAAGAGTGAGGATCGAGGATCCGGTGACATGATAGGCTACTGTAATCCGAAAGTCTCAAACCCTCATTCTCCAAGCATCCAGAAAGTACTAGGTCCGAGTCCAGAAGAGACTAAGGATTCGGGTCCGGGTTATAAAACTTTATAGATAATGCGTATTTATACAGTTAGGTTGAATAGGAAACAACATTGATAGTTAGGATGACCAATAGAGTTAAACTTACAAATAATTCTCTTAGGATATTGGATCATAGAGTAATTTGATGCTAACCTTCACGTGGTGCTTGGGTTTGCCTATCGTGATGATTCAACCGAACTATATTGGCTGGAACATATGTTCCTTGTAGGTTTTATCGTGCGACGCAGGCGGATTAGAGAACGGTGAGGCTGAAGGCAGCAGCTTAAGGTCTGAGGACGAAGTCGTACTGCTAACTGTAGAGTGATGCGACAACAGTAAGGTGTTTCCCTCGGACAACCAGTATCTGCAGAGATCCTGCCTCCTCACAAGGAAGGAGGGGGGTAGAAAAGCTTGATCCTAAAAATGTCACACCTCACCTTACCTCATGAGTTTCCGTCGCGGGCGATAAGGCCCTTTGAAGAGCGGAGCTAATACTTCCAAAGCATCTAATAAAAATGCCGTGTGTGACGGGCCTTAAGCAGTTTTGTCCGTTGGGTTCTGTGGTCACGCTCCCAGGTCTCTAAGACCAATACTAATCCAATTTCCTTTCCAGATTCCTCAGGATGCACTCTTCCATGGTGTGGGCAGCCGAGAAATAACATCTGCCATCAAACCCCTAAAAGATTCATATTTGGTCTCGTTTGATCTAGAAGTTGAATCCACAAGGAAGTAGAGCAACGTCCCATGTGATACTGTCACATTGTGGTAGCCTAATGACAAGAAACATGTTCATACATCATATATGTATTTTCCCTTAGGATTTTAAAGCCCATTAGTTTGTGTTTAAGATTTTCCTACTCACTCCCCTAGATCTATCAATTCAGCTTTTAAGGATCAGAGGTTCAACTTTTATCCATTCATCTTCGTAAAAATCACGTCTGTCGTTCAATCGGTGAGTAGGATTTCTCTGGCAAATAGAGGACAATTCTAACCCTCATCTATACTTAAGGCATTTGAAAGCTAAATACGAAAATCCTCACGATATTGCATCTCTGGGGTTATGCTAACTGTTCTCTGTATCGATCCAATTTGATTATGTGTACTGTACTACCGACGTGAAAACTGCCTGACTGACACTACAATTTAACGTAAGATCATTGATCTTCCAGACATGACAGACAGACAGACAGATACAACGCAGAACTTTGTACGTAAGTACATCAGTTCAAGTTGCCATACCACATTAGCACAGAGACGTAACTGTCAGTTCAAATCCAAAAGTAGAAGTATTAGCAGTAATTGAGAAGATTAGGAAGCGAAGATATGATTCAAAAAGTATAATTCAGTAAGATAAATTTAGAAGGAGAAAGGTAAAGATTATGAGGAATGCAGACATGATGTATAATAAATCCTTCTAAGTTATATTGAGTTATCCTTTAGACAGCTATTAGTTCACTTGTTTGATCTCCGCGGTAAGCAAGTTCCTTTAGTGTATTTGTAGTCCCATTTAACAAGTTCTCAATAACTTATTTGATTTTGACCAATTTGGTCTTGCGTGCTGTTACGGGTATGAGGGCGGTTGTCACTTCCCGGCTGCCCACACCGTGGAAGGTTGTTTCTTGAGGGACCTGAAAAGGAAGATAGATTAGTGTTGGTGCGTGACCGCAGAGCCCAAGGGACAACTGCTTGAGGTCGGTCACGCACGGCCTTTTTATGAAATGTTTTTTGAGGATTAGCTCCGTTCTTAAAGGCCCTTAGTGGGCACCCTTACCCAAGGAGACGGAAATCCGTGAGGTAGGGCGAGGTGTGACATTTTTAGGGTCGACCTTTTCTAACCCTTCCTTCCTTGTGAGAAGGCAGCATCGCTGCAGATGCTGGTTGTCCGAGGGAAACACCTTACTGCTGTCACACTCCTCTGCAGTCAGCAGTACGACTTCGCCCTCAGACCTTGGGTAGCTGCTTTTAGTCTCATCGTTCTCCAATCGACCTGCCTGTCATGGTAGGACCTGCAGGAACATATGTTCCAGCCAGTATAGCTCGGTTGGGTCATCACGATAGTCAAGCCCAACCACCACGTGTCAAGGTAGCAGCTACGGCCGGGTCTCAATAACTTGTAAATTACATTTGTATTCGATGTTTTGATTTTTTCTGTCTACAGGTTGCTGAACATGTTGGCAGTCGTACACAAGAAGAATGTATTCTTCACTTTCTACGTCTACCTATTGAAGATGCTTATTTAGAAGGTTCCGACCCCATATTAAATTTAACATCATTAGCTAATGCAAGTCATCCAGTGCCACCATTTTCAAAATCAGCTAATCCTATTTTATCAACTGTAGCATTTCTAGCCGCTGCTGTTGATCCACGCGTGGCATCGGCTGCAGCTCAAGCAGCACTTATGGAATATGCTAAAATGCGTGATGAAGTACCAGCCAGTCTGTTGCGTGAACATAAAGCACGTGTTGAAGCCGCCGTGAAGCTGGGTCATCATGTGGATCCACAAAAATTCGGTTTAGAAGAAGTTGGTGGAATGAATCAGTTCACTACAACGACCACGATGACGACTGAATCATCAGAGAAATTGTTGAATAATAATAAATCAGCACAGCAATTGATGAGCACCGAGAAAATGCCGCTAGTGGTTGAAGATGATAGTAGTCGATTGTCAGTGGATAATGAATTGAAAGAAACTACTGATCATAAAGTATGTCAAATTAAAAATTCATATATTAAATAGTCATCTATTTATCTATATGTTCAGTCAGTCAGTCACTGACAACGTAGAACTTTGTGTATATGTGTACATAAGTTTAAGTTGCCATACGGCTTCAGCATAGAGACGCAACTGTCAATTCAAATCCCATAGTGATAGGGATAGTAGAAGAATAAGGGGTAAAGGAGAATATTAGTAGAGATCGAAGATATTATTTGAAAGGAGTATAGTTCAGTGAAATAAATTTAGCAAGAGAAAGATAGAGATGATAATCATTTCAGTCAGTCAGTCAGATACAACATAGAACTTCGTATATACGTATATCAGTTCATGTTGCCATACCACATCAGCACAGAGATATAATTGTCAATTCAAATCAAATAGTAGAAGGGGTAGTAAGGGAAATAGAAATAATCGGAGAGGTTAGGATTAGAAGATATTATTATTCAAGAAGTATGATTCAGTGAGATAAGTTTAGAAAGTCAAAACTAGAGGTGTTGACGAATCCAGAAGATTAGGCTTTGAGAGAACACAAAGAGGGGATGCACTTGCGCCATTGCAAACGATTTTGAGCCATGCCGTTCAAGGTCTCTAACCATCGATTATTATCATCTCGCGCACCCCAACCAGGTAGTCGCCATCTACCAATATGACTCAATCCACTTGTCAGTGACTTCATGAATTTCTGCCATGACATCGCTATCGTTGATCGATAGGTATTTTTTTCTTCTAAAAAAAGAAACTTTTTGAAATAAACCATGCCGAAAACATTATTATTATTATTATTATTATTATTATTATTATTATTATTATTATTATTATTACAACGTTTAGTAAAATGAGGAATTTTTCGGCATGGTTTATTTCAAAAAGTTTCTTTTTTTAGAAGAAAAGTAGTGAAGTATTCGAGCGTGTTGATCACTTCACTCTTCTGAGAAGCCTCATCAGCGCTGATAGCCTGATGACTGACGAAATCTCAGCACGGATACAGAAAGCTCGATTAGCTTTTGCCAATTTACGCCGTTTATCCGTTCGCTAACCAAAGGACGGGTGCACTGCGCAACAGTTTGCTCCGTTCATCTATATGGATGCGAAACATGGCCGTTAAGAGTAGAAGATGTTCGTAGGTTACTAGTATTCGATCATCGGTGTCTCCGAAGCATTGCTCGTATATCATGGGACAACCGTATAAGCAATGCTGTCGTTAGGAAACGAGTACTAGGTAAGGATGGCAGATCAATAGATGAAGTGGTGAAACTTCATCAGTTGAGGTGGTTGGGAAATTTGTTACCTATGGCTAACCACCGACGAGCTATTTTTTGTAGTGTAGTAATAAGTTGGACGAAAGCTAGGGGCGGCCAGACGAAAACACTGCACAAATCCATGAATTCATTGACGAGTGGACTGAGACATGTCGGTAGTTGTCGAGTACCTGGTTGGGGTCCGCGACATGATAATAATCGATGGTTAGAGACTCTGAATGACATGGCTGGAAACCGTTTGCAATGGCGCCGGTGCATTTATTCTTTGTGTTCTCTCAAATCCTAATCTTCTGGATTCGTCAGCACCTCTACCTTTGTCTCACTGAATTATACTTCTTGAATAATATCTTCAAACCCTAATCTTCTTCATTACCATTAATACCTCTACTATCTTTATCACTATGGGATTTGATTTGACATTTGCGTCTCTCTGTGCTAATGTGTGGTATGGCAACATGAACTGATGTACATACGTAGAAAGTTCTACGTTGCAACTGACTGACTAACTGATTATTATTATTACTGTAGTGTGAATGTGTGTTTATATATATGTATATATATATTTTTATCTTATCTTATTACTTCTCATCTAATTTACAGGAAATTCATTCAATAGATACATCCACAACAACACAGACGACAACAACAACAACTATGCCTACTGATAATGAAAATAAAATTTCTGAAATTACTATAACACAAAAATTAGACAATACTTATAAAATTGAAGAAAAATCTGAACCAATGATTATTGAAGAAGCTGAACAACAGCCACCACCACTACAGCCACCACAGCCAGCAGCAAGATTCCACAGATCTACAACAACCAACTGCAACAACAACAGCAATGATCAATAATGCACCGTCTGCCATTGACCAACAACAACAACAACCAATAATCGCTAACACTGATAACAATTGTAGTCAAACAAAGCTATCCTCTGATGAAAAATCAATCAATTGCATTGATGATGAACAAGATCAATTCATGAAAAAATCGTCCAGTACTGTACAAGAATCGGAGAAATCCACTTCAGCAGCCACAGCCACCACCACCACCGCTGAATCGTCGTCCGCGCCATTGAATACAGATAGTTTAGGTAAAGCAGCTGCATGTGCATTAGCTGCTGCCGCAATTAAAGCACGTCATTTAGCTAATGTTGAAGAGAAACGTATAAAAGGTTTAGTTGCACAATTAGTTGAAACACAATTGAAAAAATTAGATATTAAATTGAAACAAATTCAAGTAAGTAAATTGGGAAAAATTTTAAATTTTTTTTTATGACTTTGTTAGGTTTTGATCACTTCGTGGACGAATTGTCAGAGTTCTAGGGTAATCGATACAGTTCGACTGTATTGAGTGTAGGTAGGTAGTTAGTTTTACCTACCGAAGACAAATAATGGATGGGGTTTTTTTGCGAAAATCCTTTAGATTGATCAGTATTAGACATTAACACCGTGAGATGCCGGTTCAGAGGTTAGGCGTTCGTGAAGGTGCTGGGTTCGAACACTGTGAGTAGCAGGAGTCGTGGATGTGCACTGCTGATGAGTTGCATATCCGAACGAAACGGTCGTCCAGATTTCTAATAATAATGGTTTAACAATGATTCATTCATGATGTCTGTGTATGCCCGAACACGTCAACTCACTATAAAAAGGCTCTGTGGTCACGCTCCCTGATCTCTAAGACTAACACTAATCCAACTTCAAGTAACACCGTTCCACGATGTGAGTTACTGGAAAATGACATCCGCCCTCATACCCGTAACAGGAAACAAGACAAAATCAATCATAATCAAATCTCTCCTCAACCTTTTCATAAATCTCATATCTCCACGACAGACTCTTCTGTTATTCCTTCACCACCACTTCGCGTTGCTGATGCAGACGTTTCGATTACATGAAACGTTATTCCTAGTCTCCTGAAGCCACTCTCCATTTCGGAGTGTTTAATGTCTGGAAATGACATCCGCCCTCATACTCGTACCAGCATACGAGACCAAAGTGGTCACTTTCAAATCCTTTCTACATCCCGCTTATCTCCATGACTATCGCTTCTCACATTTCGTTATCAGCCCACACCGCTCATGCAAACGATTCGATTCCCCGAAACGTTATTCCTGGTCTCCTTAAACCCGTTCCTAGACTACATGTTGGAGCTTTTAATGTATAGACATTGTACCGAATAGGGCAACAGGCTTCCTTAGCTAGGACTTTAGAATCTCGCGCCGTCGATGTATGCTGTGTCTGCGAAACGCGCACACAGGATCATAGTAACATCAATAATTTGATTTCACCTTGTCAAAATAAAGAAGCCGCTTGATTTACTCTTCGTGTATCTGGTCCTAGAATAGAACTGGCCGTTCTACACTGGATCCCTGTAGATAGTCGCCTGTGTGCTGTCCGACTAAACGGTACAGTAAGGACTCGGAAGGATAGAGACACTCGCTGTCGCCTCTTCGTCGTATCTGCCTACGCTCCCACTGATTTTTGATTTGATTTTGACTAATTTGGTCTCGTGTGCCGTTACGGGTATGCGGGCGGTTGTCACTTCGCGGCTGCCCACACCGTGGAAGGTTGTTTCGTGAGGGACCTGAAAAGGAAGATAGATTAGTGTTGGTCTTAGAGACCTGGGAGCGTGACCGAAGAGCTTAAGGGACAACTGCTTGAGGCCGGTCACGCACGGCCTTTTTATGAGTTTTTTTAGTGTTAGCTCCGTTCTTAAAGGCCCTTAGTGGGCACCCTTACCGCCGGAAACGGAAATCCGTGAGGTAGGGTGAGGTGTGACATTTTTAGGGTCGACCTTTTCTAATCGTTCCTTCCTTGTGAGAAGGCAGCATCGCTGCAGATGCTGGTTGTCCGAGGGAAACACCTTACTGCCGCTGTCACACCTCTCTGCAGTCAGCAGTACGACTTCGCCCTCAGACCTTGAGTAGCTGCTTTTAATTTCATCGTTCTCCAATCGACTTGCCTGGCATGGTAGGACCTTCAGGAACATATGTTCCAGCCAATATAGCTCGGTTGGGTCATCACGATAGTCAAGCCCGACCACCAAGTCAAGGTAGCAGCTTCGGTCGGGTCCCACTGATTGCAGTTCAATTGAAGTGAATCTCATTCCTGCGTCTTTGAAAAAAGCAGCGCATTCACGATCCAAACAGAATTATTAACAATTTCTATTCTTTTATTTTAATTTCAGGAATTAGAAAGTATCATGGAACGTGAATATGAAATGATTGAACAAATGCGTCAACAATTATTACAAGAACGTCAAGCATTTCATATGGAAGTGATTAAAACAATGGAGAATCGTGCAAGAGCTTTAATGCATCATCATCAACAACAACAACAGCAGCAACAACCGCCACAACCACCACCACAACAACAAACGAATGTCGTCTTATCACAACAGCAACCGCCAGTGCATTTGCCTCCACAACAACTTCCACCACAACCTCCCCAACCGGTACCACAGCAACAACAACAACCACCTCCTACCTATCCTAGTAATCAAGGTGGTTCATGTCCAGTTGTAGTGAATCCAATCCTACATCCAAATCCTTCCATACAACCAGGATCACATGTGAGTAGTAGTAGTAGTAGTTATCCAACACAAACTCTACCATCGATCGTGAATGATTCAAGACCGATTTTAAATTCTGCACCGACAAATTTGACTGTTTATCCACCGGCAAATTATGCAACCATAACAACAACAACAAACATGCCATCTGCTCTACCCTCTCCAAATCAACAATTATCATCCGCTTGTGGACATATTTCACCGACACCTACTCAACTTATTCAACATCATCCACGTGATGAGTGTCATGCACAAACACCGATTATAACGACCGCCCCGATGACACCAGCAGCAGCAACACCAACAATAATTACACATCCAACGTCTACACCACCACAAACTGAGCCTGCTACTACGGAGTCATGGTCCGAATCATCTGTCTATCCAATGACATCAGAACCGCATACTGTTCGTCAACTTCTTATTGAACCGCCGCCATCCAATCACAATGATACATCATTGGCACCGAATATCACTGTCAGCATGTCACAACATCCGATCACTGGTTCCGATTCATCTTTAGAAGGAATTAATAGTAGTAGTAGTGTAAAAACGAGTCAACAACCTGTGGATTCTTCAATCAGTAATGAAGAAAACGAACAAGTGACTGACGCATCCAAACAACATCATCCTGTATCGTCATGTTCAATTGATGAAGAAATGAATGCTTGTACTGTGGCAAGCTTATTATCAGATGATAATAGTAATAACGATCATACTACTACTAATAATAATAACAGTAACGCAACTATGGATGCTCCCGTCTCATCATCGGTTTCTAGTCCATCAATGAATATGGACACCACCACCACCACCACTAATAATCCTCCGGAATTGTCTTGTTCAAATGAGGAAAGTATTCACTAGTTAAATTAATCAAATTTAACTGACTATTAATTGATGATCTTGTCTTGTTATGCTAACATTTTATCATATTATTATTAGTATTACTATATTTACTAGTAATACTACTACTACTATATTAGTAGTATATTTGGTTGTTTGTGTCGTGTTATATTATCAACCATTTTTTCTTTTTCCTTTTTTTTCTCGTTGTTATGATGAAATTTAATAAGCAGCATTTAGTAGTGCGTTCAACTTATATGAGTTTATGTAAAAAAAATTTAATAAATACCATATTATTATTGTTATTATTATTTCTGTTCTCTGTTACTTATCTTGGGAGTGTCTCATCAGTGCCGATGGCCTGGTGACTGACGAAATCTCAGCTCGGATACAGAAGGCTCGATTAGCTGTTGCCAACCTGCGTCACTTATGGCGTAGGCGTGATATCCGTTCTCTAATAAAAGGACGAGTGTACTGTGCAGCAGTTCGCTCCGTTCTCCTATATGGCTGTGAAACATGGCCAGTGAGAGTAGAAGATATTCGTATGTTACTGGTTTTCGATCATAGGTGTCTTCGAAGCATTACTCGTATACCGTGGGACAATCGAGTAAGCAATGCTGTCGTTAGGAAACGAGTACTAGGTAAGGATGGCAGATCAATCGATGAAGTGGTGAAACTTCATCAGTTGAGGTGGTTGGGACATGTGTTGCGTATGCCGAACCACCGACTGCCTCGACGAACTTTGTTTTGTAGTGTAGGAGTAGGTTGGAAGAAAGTTACGGGCGGCCAGACCAAAACATGGCACAAATCCATGAAGTCATTGACTAGTGGACTTAGCCATGTCGTTAATTGTCGACTACCTGGTTGGGGTCCTCGAGATGATAATAATCGATGGTTAGAGACCTTGAATGACATGGCTCAAAATCGTTCGCAATGGCTTAGGTGCATTTATTCTTTGTGTTCTCTCAGATCCTAATCTTCTGAGTTCTTCAACACCTCTAGTTTCGACTCTCTAAACTTTTCTCACTGAATCATACTTCTTGAATAGTATCTTCTAACCCTAACCTCTCCGATTACTTCTAATTCCCTTACTACCTCTTCTACTATTGGATTTGAATTGACGATTACTTCTCTATGCTGATGTAGTATGGCAACATGAACTGATGTACTTACGTACAAAGTTCTACGTTGCATCTGACTGACTGACTGTTCGCTGTTATTATCGTCGTCGTTGTTGTTGTTAATGATTTTTCAGGGGTTAGCATCGTGTTTTCAGTGACTTGGTTTTCTATGGGATAGTTGTTGTCGTTAAACACCCTAACCATGTCTAACCCTCCTCCTCTATCTAGTTTTTTTTCCCCATCGAAATGTAAAATATTGATTCAAGATTGGGTTGGATCGGCACTTGAACTAGTAATGATAGGTAGTGAAGTAGTCGAGCGTGTAGACTGCTTCAGTTATCTGGGAAGTCGTCTGATCAGAGCTGATGGCCTGGTGACTGACGAAATCGCAGGTCGGATACAGAAGGGTCGGTTTGCTCTTGCCAACATGCGTCACTTATGGCGTAGGCGAGATATCCGTTTGCTGACTAAAGGACGAGTGTACTGTGCAGCAGTTCGCTCTGTCCTACTATACGGATGCGAAATATGGCCGTTAAGAGTAGAAGATGTTGGTAGGTTACCAGTGTTCGATCATAAGTGTATCCGAAGCATTACTCGTGTATCATAGGACGACCGAGTAAACAATGCTGTTGTTAGGAAACGAGTTCTAGGTAAGGATGGCAGATCAATAGATGAAGTGGTGAAACTTCATCATTTGAGGTGGTTGGGACATGTGTTTCGTGTATGCCTAACCACTGACTGCCTCGACGAGCCATGTTTTGTGGTGTAGGAGTAGGTTGGAAGAAAGTTAGGGGCGTTCAGACCAAAACATGGCGGAAATGCATCAGGTCACTGACTAGTGGACTGAGTCACGTTGGTAGATGCAGTCTATCTGGTTGGGGTCCGTGAGACGAAAGTCAACGATGGTTAGAGACCTTGAACGACATGGCTCAAAATCGTTTACAATGGTGCAGGTGCATCCACTCTTTGTGTGCTTTTTAATTCTAACCTTCTGAATTCCTCATAATCTTTATCTTTCTCCTTCTAAATTTATCTCACTGAATTATACTTTTCGAATCATATCTCCATTACTGCTAATACTTCTATTATTGCTTTTTCATGGGAAGGTTTTAAAGTGTTAGCTCCGCTCTTCAAATGGCCGGAGACGGAAATCCGTGGGGTTAAGATGAGGTGCGACATATTTAAGGTCAAGCTATTCTAACACCTTCCTGTTGTTGTGAGAAGGCTGCATCGCTGCCGATGATGGTTATCCGAGTGAATCAACTTAACTGCTGTCAGCAGTACACCTTTGACCTCAGACTTGGAGTCGCTCCTTCTATTATTACCATTCTCCGAACGACCTGTCTGACATGATAGAACCTACAGGAACATATAGCTCAGGCCTTTTTTATTATTCATACGTCTAGTCATGAACTGATGATCTTGTATAGACAAATTTTGAAAATCAAACATGCACTGACACAGTTATCTCCTTGTTGTGATGTTGTTCCATATCAAGATGAAACAACAAACCGACAGCCTCCTGGGTTTTTTTTAAATGATTGTCTAACTAAGCATTAATCTGTCATGTAAGTTATATATAAAAGCAGAATATCAAATATTTTCGTTTATCATCATATAAAACACTAACTAATCTGTTATGATAATACGTTCACCAAACTGGATACTCTCAATTTGTATTGAGAAGACTGAGGCAGGCGAGGAAGATTACAAAATGCAAATTTACACTCTGAGTTAGTTAAAAACGACAATATTACATTGAACACCACTCTATTTGTACACCATCTTTGAGTCGTCGTGACTTCCAACGCTCCATCCTTCTTCTTCCATTCCTGTTGGTACTCCATTTGCTTTCCGTTTTCCTCTTCTGACCGTGCGAATTCTTCTTCTTTCACGTCTCTTCTTATACTACTTATATCGTTCGTATAAGTAGCATACACCACAGTATGTTGTACACGTTATATTAAATTTTAATGAAAATCAGAATAATAATAAGGCCAGACAAAATATAAACGAAATCTTTTTGATCTACTTGTATGTTCAGGTATTATGTCCTAACTCTGAGTATAACAGTAGTTAACAAAACAAATTGATATCACTGACACTGATTAGAATGTGCATTCTGATTCATACGCGCATGCTCTGGCCTGATTGTTGTGTGTGTGTGTTGCTACTTCATAGTATTCTCATATCACCCTAGTCAAGTTAGCGGATTGAAATAAGTAATGACTGCAGAACACGCGCATCAGTTGACACTAGGTAAAACAAAATCCAACTCAATGACTCCGTCAAGAACAATCAGTCTTCTGATTCCACATATTATTTACCAAAATAAAACTATTCCTCAGTGTGTATACCGTGTTATCGATTGTCAAGCTTTACTGTTTATGATGAGAATCTCACTAAAAATAAACTAGTCATTACGCGCAACTATTTCTTGTTTGTTTGAATGAAATAGGCATGTATCCGCATGGAATGATTTGCCATCGATGAAATAAATGGAGGGCGGTTATTTAATTTTTGTTGAAAATTGTCTCTCTTTATATTTTTGAAAAAAATATTTAAAAAAATTATTACTACATAGGAGATGAGATATACTACTCAAATAATAATATGTAAGTTCAAAAACAGTGAGCAATCGACAACAATAACAACATCAGAGAACTTATTGAAATTTTTTTGAAATATCTTATTTGAAAAATGAATCAATCACTTTAGTTAGACTAATAGACTGAGTGTAGTAGTTTTTCAGGTAGGAAGTATTGTCAATTTTATCTAGGGAAATGAATTTCCAACTTTGCAATCCCATTTTTGTCATTTTCATGGCTATGAAGCGATATGAATATGATATTTTATTTATAAAACCTGTTAAATTAATATACTTAAATATGCACGAATAATTTCTCTGATAGTTCCTTTGCCAAAAAATGATTTCAGTTAGTCAGTGAGTGAAATAATGAAAGCCAAAGAATACTAGATAGATATTTTTGTCAGTCAACTAGTAAGTGGTGAAAAAAATCACAAAATCAATTATTTTTAATTTGAAAATTGATAAAAAGGTTCGAAAACAAAATATCTTTATTAAATAGATTTATTTATTAATGTGTAAAGAGACATCTAAAAATGTCTATCTATCAATACAGCTGCTTTGTACATTTTTATGATTATTAATTAGGCTTTTGTCAGCTGCCAGTATGATAAGTTCGTCACTTAGTATGCTTGAGGCTACTATTACGAGTTTACCTTAGTCGATAAACGCGAACGAGACAATAAACCAGCGTCCAGGTAGGCTACCTTGAATCCCCAGGCTGAAGTAAAAAGGCTTTGTAAGCGTAGAAAGTATATTCTACAAACACCCAGCAATCACACGATACAATCAAGCATACAACTCTCGTTTATTTATACATCCATCATAGAAACGTCCTTGGGACAGTTAAGAAAATAGTACACTAAAATACACAGCAGCCAATCACAGCCATGGATTTTCCTGGTGGGAATTGAAATCTCAAGGTCAACTGATCAGCCCATGCTCACAAACGTGAAAACCAAAATAAGGCATTTATCAAGTGAGTTTTGGGGATCTAACATCCCCAACACAGTAATAATATCGCTTTAAAATTAAAAAAAAGTAAACAGTTCGTCTTTATAACTTATCTTAGTACTAAGTAAAGACTCAGGTTAAAAAGGGGATTTCAACTTATGTTTTTTTTTTTTACTGAGATAAGGTAATAATCACAGTTGCAAAGTATAGGTTAATTTCGCTGAAGAATCCAGTAATATTCTTTGTAAACTTGTCTTGGGAGCCAAGAAATGTTTTATACGATCATCATTGGATAGAGGTGTTGCAGAAGCATCTTTTAAATGCTTCATCACGATTGGATGTTTACACATACCACTACT